TGTTCGGCGGACGTCAGTAACATGGTCACATGGCTCACAAAGAACCCGCGCTGCAGACACCCAGAACGTTCCACGGTGCTGCCATCAGCGATGGGCTGTGCCTGGTGTGATGAGGTCTCTCCATACGTGAACCGTGATACACCAGACTGACCCGCGATTATTTATATGGCCTGTTCTTCAAGTCTGAGTAACCAGACCAGACTCACTGCCCGTTGTCGTCTTCCAGCCCAGTGCTGAGAGCGGGCAGCTCTTTTGGGTCTGGATCGATCTGTTTGTGCCAGCTCCGTCTGGGCTTGGGGCTCGTTGTAGAGCCGGCCGCTCCTCTGTGTGCTTGTCTGCCTGCCATGGATGAATGCACTGTGTCTAACCAGCTGTGCGTCGAGTGACTTCCTGATATTCTTTGAGCATGTGGGACACAGATGTCCTGCAGTGTCACTGAGACATGGTCACATCTTTCTCCCCCCCCCCCCCCCTTCAGGTGTGGGAGGTATCAGACAAACCTTTAGAAGTGCTAAGTTAGACATCAAATTCTTCATTAGTTTAAATAATTAGAAAAATCTGAGAACAATAGGTTGTAATGATCCCATTTTTCGATGTTTTTGCTGTACATGAATTTAGATGGATGCATAGTGCAGTAGAAGGTCCATGTCATCATATTTATCTGTATTCAGCTGATTAGGGATGAATCTCTGTTAATAGATTCTGTTGGGAGGCTGGTTTCCTTAGATGAACTGATGAGTTTGTGATGGACAGACAGTCCTGGTAGTGCTTTGAGTGCCAGCCCTTCCACTTCACCCCAACCCCCCGCCCTGCTGCTGTCTCATGCTCCCCTCTTGCCTTCCAGTCCCCGGACACTGCTGATGACGGTCACATGGACGGTTCCAGTAGCCCAGGTGAGGGAGATGCGTCGACACTCAGCACATGGCTCAGAGACCCTGTGGCTGTAACTGCAACCAAGCTGGGGCTGGATGGGCTTACGGAGCTCCTCCGTTCAGCCTGGAAGCCGGCCAGTGCTCTGTGACCTTTAACCTGGTCCCTACTTTGACCTTTGACCTTTGATTATGCTCACTCCAGGTGACTTCCTGGGATAAACAGCTGCCACATTTTGGTAGGATACCCATGTGTGTGTGAGATAAATAAATAACAGAAACGGTGATTCTGCTTTATTGTGTGCTTGGTGTGAGATTCATTAACAGCCTGCTCAGTGGTTCACACCTAATCTTAGGCCTGATCTTGGGTTTTACTAAGCTGGGGGTGTGTCAGTGCTCCGCGGTGCTTGTTCTCAGTGTTATGCTCCAATCAGCTTAGGCAGACTGAGGTCTATGCTAATACTCTCTGGATGTGAATCGCTGTGGAATGTGGTCTGTGCGGATGCGCCCTCTCTGGATGTGAATCGCTGTGGAATGTGGTCTGTGCGGATGTGCACCCTCTGAATGTGAATCGCTGTGGGATGTGGTCTGTGCGGATGTGCACCCTCTGAATGTGAATCGCTGTGGGATGTGGTCTGTGCGGATGCGCCCTCTCTGGATGTGAATCGCTGTGGGATGTGGTCTGTGCAGATGTGCACCCTCTGGAAGTGAATCCTGCTGGTTTCATGTCATCCCTCAGAGGTGGACCATGTACCCATCCACCTTTTTCTGGTCTGTGGCATTGCTGGAGTCTGCTAGATACCATGCTGTATTCGCCTGTGCGGAAATTGCTTTGTGAGATCGGGTTAGCAGGGGCGGTGTGTGGTGCAGCAGGTTATGAAACTGTTCCTGTAATCAGAAGGTCACCAGTTCAGTTCCTTGGCTCGGCAGAGAGATGTCCCCGTTGGGCTCCTGAGCCAGGCCCTTAACCCTAATTGCTCCAGGGTCTGTCGGATCTTGCTTTGTCTCATAAATAAATGTTGCTTTAGATAAAAGTGCCAGCTACAAAGAATAAACATAAATTGTTAGTACCAGTTGTCAGGCAGACAGCAGCACTGGCAGGGTGGTAGGTGGTAGGTTATCACCCTGAGGCTGAGGATATCCCACGGCCTGCCAGGCTCAGCCCTGCATGGGCGAGGCTGCTGCTCTGCCTTTGTCTACAGACGCTCTGACCTTTCTGCTAACGGCATCACGAGGGGTGAATCTCAATACCAAGAACTCAGACTTGAGTACTTGGCAAGACCGGTCCTGTTAACTTTGCTTCCAAGAACGAACTTGGGACGCAATGAATCATGGGATTGGTCTTGTTAGGCAAGGATGCAACCAATGTCCATCCATCCATTTTCTGAAACCACTTGTCCTATTCAGGGTCACGGGGGTGCAACCAATGTACCCTTGATATTTGGGGCAGTACAAGACCAGCATCCGGGGATTTTTACCATCCCCCTGTACTTGTGTTCTTAGTTTTGGGACTGGAATGGAGAACGGGTACATGAGAACACAAGTAAAGCCAAGTACGCATATTGAGATTCACCCAAGCATTCTGGGAAAATGTATGGGCATTAAGAACAGCTATCCAGCCTTCATTGATGATTCAGGACAATGAATTCCACTGGGCCTTCTTTGGACTAAGATCCATTTAGAACATTTTCCTCCAGTTAGCACTGATGTAAATTCACTAATGTTCTCTTCATTTCCCATCTGTGGTCACTCCCTATGCAGCAGCACCCCCTGCAGACCCGGCGGTAGAAGTGTCCCCTCTGCTGCCCGTGTCCTCAGCCCTGGAAGAGATGGCGCTCTACAGCAACAAGCGCAAGCTGAGGCAGGGCCGCCGCAGCCTGGAGACCGCCGTCCCCACGTAACTCACGCCCCAGAGGACCATCGCCAAGACACTCGCTCTTTCTCACACACACGCACACATGCACGCGCACATGCACCAGCAACACGACCCTCACCGTGAGCCATCCAGAGCTCTGCCACAATACCACCACAGAACCCATCTTCTGGAGTCACATCAGCTTCCTCATCAATGTCCACTTGAGGACACGAGACATTTCCATGAGAGAGTGGTGACACTACAAGCGGGATATCTTAGAAACACACACATGGAGGGTGGGATATGTACAAACGGCCCCCCGCCAATTAGAAAGGGCAGTATGAGTGGGCGATCAGAAGCCTTTTTTTTTTTTTTAGTTTCCCTCTTACACTTTTTCAGTTTGCAACTTAGAAGCTGAACTTAACTGGTGACTAATCCTGTTCGATTACTGCCACTCTGGTTGCTGTTAAAAAAAATGAAGTAAAAACGAGATGAATTGTAGCGGTTTCACTAACTGTAATTTTTAATTTGGGAGGTGTTTTATTTGAATGGCTTGTAAAATTCAAGGGTGTCACAGAGCTTTGGGAAGAGTGTAAATAGGGCTTAAAACTTCTGCTACGCAAGCAGCCACCCGAACACATATTTCAGCATTTGTGTTGCAATGTTTGTATATTGCTCTACCCCTACTGGTTGTGTAGGGAAAACTTTTTAAAACTGATTTTAGAGTAACTTATTTTATCAGTGTATCCCTAAACGTCTCCATACATCTCTGTATTAATCCGAGTGTGTAAAACGTGTTTGTTAAATCACTGTGTTCAAGAGAATTCATCTAAAGCAAGCATATGTGCATTTCTTTGTATTGTGCGTTTTATATTTATGTCATTGGAAACAGTCAGAGGTCAGTCACCTAAATACATAGGTCGAGTTAACAGAACCTTTGGTCTTGAAGATTAAAATTTCCTTCACCAAAAACGTTGCACACTGTCTGGTGGTGTAAGCAGCACGATCATTTACACTCTAAATGTTACAGTCAACAAATAAGGCATAAAATATCAAGGCATTTTATATTTCCAAAATTTAAGGCATGAAGATGTACTTTGTCATTACCTGAACCCTTTCCTGAAAGTAGTAGCATGTGGCATTTGTCAATCGAAATTAATACACACCGTTCTATTAAACAAGACTACACTGAGCTGACCAGGATTATGGATACAGGACTGTGCACCCAAAGGGTACCAATGCCAAAAATTTACAGATTTGTGATTTTCTGCTGCCTATGCAGGAAAGGTGAACATGTAGGTCTCATTACCTGTGGTACCATTCTCTCTACTCTTCAAAGGCACGTGGATGATCTATGTATGAGCTACAAACCAGTTATTTTGAGGTAGTGAAGGTAGCAGGTGGTAATAGTTTTTTTTTTTTATTATTAAATCTGACACCACTGAAATCTGTGAATAATGTACATACGACAAAAATGAAAGAAGCAATGTCAAGGTTAAAGCTGAGCCGATCTATGCAGAGACCCCAGCTGTTGTGTTTACTGGGTGCTGTGTGCATGTAAATTGGCTGAGAGTGAAGGTTTTTCATAAAATATATTTGTAAGTCCTCCCAATGTCTTTTGTATTCTCAATGCACTCTTCCTCTTTTGATCTACTGTTAACAAATCTGAATTGTGTAATAGCTTCTGTTATTAAAATACTAATTATAGTTTTTTTAATTGACTGAAATTCAGTTTGGATAATTTGTGAATGATTTTTTTCTCTCTCTTCCTGTTAGATAACGTCCTTTCTGGGATTTACCAAACAGTGGGTTTTAGACAGATGTAGAGCCATTTTTTCTCCTTTTTGTGGGAACATATTTTTCCAAAAGGGTGGGAGGGAACGGAATGAAGTCATGGGGTTATAGCAACATGCCTGTAACTAGATAAGGTCATGGGGGTTATAGCTCAAAGACTGTAACTAGTGAATTTGTAAAACCAAAGAATTCTATTTTGTGGTTCAGGAACAATAAAGTTTACTTTGCGTTTAACTGATTTACAATTTTGTGTTTGCAGTTGAAGACACTATCGATAAAAACTTTGGACAAAGACTGTGGGACATCTGACAAGTTATTTGGGTCACAAATTCATTGTGTTTCTAACATCACCCATCTGCAATAAAAGAATTTGCGACACTTAGCAATTGAACTGCTGTTTTCCAAAGTGCCTTGAGTCAGAGTCAAATTACTTATGACAGACACTTGATTCTTTTTCAGACATATAGTTCAAAAATCCAATATGTGATTCTTGCACCAATGTTTATTGCAGTACAGCTATCACATCAGTGGATCTCAAACATTTTGGTCCAAATATCACTTATGATGAAACCAAAGCAGGCAAGTACCACATGGGGAGAGATCACAGTAACCTGAATTGCAGAAAGAAATTGACCAATCTTTTCTTTGGTACCACCTGGGAGTGCACTACTTACCAAAATTTGAGAGCCACTAAATTAGATGAAAGATGCCTTAGCCGACACTAATCAGGTTTATACAGTGGTACCTTGGAACACAATTCATTTCCAGAAGGCTGGTCGAGTTGTGATTTGGTTGAGTTCCAAGTTGATTTTCCCCATAAGAAATAATGCAAATGAATTTAATCCATTCCAGACCCCCAAACGATTGCCTATTTAAATGCATCTACCTACCAATAAAAAGCATTAATCAATATAAAACCTAATACAGGTGTCCCCTGTTTAACGTCCATTTGCGTTAACACACCTGGCCTAAAAAATTACGATGAAAATTCCCGTACAAGTTTTAGCAGGAACAAGTTGGTTGAGGCGTTCGAGTTCCAAGGTTATACTGTATTTCGACAGCAGTTTTAACTTCATAATATGCTATGAACAAAGTTAATCAGATTCCAGAAGTTCAAGGTTCAATGAAGGACACATAAAACAGGACATACAACCATTCTTTAACAACCATGTGGCCAGAGAAACTGCATACACTACGGTTTGCATTCCAAAGTAGATAGGCATATTTTAAATATATCCATTTTGTGTCATTTAGCTAACAATGGATACAAGAAAAGCCTTCTGCAGTTGTCTTGCAGGTGTAACATGGATAATAAATATTTCCACTTGCCACTGTGTCAGAGCTGTATGTATGTGTGCGCATTTTGGTTTTGTGTTCTGTAACTTTAAAATATCTGGGCAGTTGCCTTTAAGAAAACGACGCACTTTATGTTTTCCTCAGTTTGGAACTGCCTGCGCAAGCGGTAGGTTATGCTTATAATTGTGTCTCATTTTAGAAAATTGCTTACTTTTGTCGACAATTTTGTTATATTAAAGTATATGTACCTGGACGAGTTTAAATATGGACAAAGTTTTGTGAGGTTGAACAACTGTATATCCATTATATCTATTCTGTGAACCTCGGCCCGTAGGCTATGTTGCTAGACAAGTAGCCAGCCACCAAGTTGTGTGTGTGTGTGGTAAAGTGAGTGTTTTTGTATTTCCAGAAGAGTGCCGTGATTGCAGTGTTTATCTTTTCACAGGTACATATTTACACTGTAATTGATATTGCTATACTTGCTCATTTTGGAACTTCCCGCGCAAGCGCACAGTGCTGTGATTGCAGTGTTCATCTTTTCACAGAATAAACCAGCTCGATTAGGAGTCTTGAGTTGCAGTGCATTCAGTTAACACAACGTAAGATCATGCCAGTTACACATGGAGTCAGATTTACGTGTTTGTCCACGTTCAACTACGAAAATTGTGAAATACTTCCACACTGTGTCTTGACTGGCACCCCTTTTAGGTCATAGACTGGCTGCCTCGTTCTCCTCTGGCTCCCAAATTCCTCATCTGTAGCACTGTTGGAATTGTGGTCCTGCTGTAGGTTTGCTGTGTGGATGGGAGGGGACAGTCTGTTGAGTGCCTGGGAGAGACAAGAAGTGCGCAGGTTGCGCCCGTGGGGTGACCTACCCTCTGCAGCACCCTGTTGTGCGCTGTGTAGTAGGGAAGGGCCCCAGGTTCGTCTGCCAGCAGCTCACGACGGAGGTGCTCAAAGGGCTCCTGCTTGTCATTCTCCTTTGAGATCACAGTCATGTTAGACAAAGCACCATGTACCTTTATTGGGCTGTACCATTAATGGACACTGAAGGACGCTCGGCACTCCTACTGACCAGACTTAAGGCCTTTTCTACTGGGATCAGTCCTGGTCGAATTGATCCTCCTGCCCTTAGCACAGCCTGGACCTCTTCAGTAAACAGGAAGGACTCGTTGTACCAGCTTTCAAACTCTATACCAAATCACAGAGATGTCAGTCTTCTCGGTCTATACCCTACCAGTGTATCTAGACACACATTTCATATTAGATTAGATAAACTTCATTGATCCCAGGGGGAAATTCTTGTGCATACAGCAGCAAGGTACATAGAGCACAGACAAACATACATATAGTACAAAACAGACAAGGTGTAAAGATATTACACACACGGTATGTTTACATTACACCAGGTTCTGTATTTTTGGTACTTCAAGAAAAGTACAAAAAGTATGGTATTTGATGGTGTGGTTGTCAACTGGCATAAAACCAGGTACCGGCGCTGAATGGCATCGCAAGGTGCTGTGGGATACTTGAGTAGTGTCTGGCTGCATGGGCCACTCTCAGACCCCTTCCGGCCCATGCATGCGCAGAACCATTTGCCACTCTCAAGCCTAGCCTCTGGTAGGACCCCACATGTGCAAAAGAGAATAAAAGATTGATCATGTAGCAATATTGCTTCAGTACTATTTTAATTTACCAAATAATAATAATAATGAAAAAACTTATCTTATTTTATTTTTTATTTTTCTTGTATTCTTATTCTTGTATTTATATATTCTTGGATTACTCTTGTACTCTTTCAGGCTATCTGTCTAGAGCTGTGATTCATTTCCCCGCGCGTATAAATTATCTTCAGTCGGCGTTCACGGTTTGACTTCTGAGATCCAGATCGAGTTCTAGGTAGTTCTGGCTGGTTCGACTTTTAAGAAATTCGAGTTCTAATGAGATACAGAGGACTAATGAAAACAACAATAAACAGCTGATCACACGGGGATTCCACACGGGGTTAACGAGGGGGCGTGGCACACGGAAGGAGCGGACGATCTGGGCAGGACACGTTGTTTGGATACATTTATTTTCTTACTTTACAAATTACTGTTTTGATAAATGTGCTTAGATGTGTTTAGTACAGTATATGCTCTTCTTGTTTTATCCGGTTCATTTTGTGTTTAACTGCTAAAAAAAAACATATTTAGATGTAATTTTTGGGGGCCGGGAACCAAGTAATTGGTTTTCCATTATTTCTTATGGGGAAAATTCGATCACAACTCGCACTTTTTAGGATTCGATCCGGAGTTCTGAACGGATTAAATTCGAGTTCTGAGGTACCACTGTATAATTTCCTCATGAGACAGACCTAAAGAAACCTTTGGAATGGTGTTATAATGTGCAATATTTTTAGTTAATGACTGTGTGTCCAGGAATTTTACAGGACTGAGGTGGCAACCCTAATTTTCAAAAAAGAAGATAGCACTGGATTTTTACAGGTGAGGGTGCGGAATGACAGAATGGGAGCCCAGAACCTGTTTTCTGGCCCCTCGAGCTGAAGAATGAAGCTCACCCATGAGTAGACGGATCCTGCACTGGTCCACCAGGTGCTGGCAGTAGTTGACCTCAGCCCTGCTGCTGCCTAATTCTTCGTGTTGCCGTCGGTACTGCACCTTCAGCTCCTGGAGCCTCAGTACCAGCGTCAGCTCCTCCTCTTCCATTACTGGCTGACCCTCCACAGTCACAAATTTTCCTGCATGGAGAGTTAGGGGGGTCACGGCCCCTGCTACAGATGTGCAGGGGGGGGGGGCTTATTAATATTCATGAAGGAGGTGCTACACACTGGCCAATCAGGGAGCGCGCTTTAGAATATTAATCAGCCCCCTTCTACTGAACTCATCAGCCAGTCAGGAACCACTTCCTGTACGAACATTAATTATCATTCCCCTAGCATCCTTCTCACCAACCAATGAGGGGAAGGGGAAGGTCTGCTACAAAAAGCCAGCACACTTTGGTTGTTTGCAGAAGGGTGTCCACGGAAGGAGGAACTTCCTGTGCACAAAAGGAAATTGGGCAGCAGAGAGGATTGTGGGTAGACACACCTTGACGCTGTTGCTGGAGCTGCAGGGTGCTACTGGCGAGGTCAATCTCCCGTTTTGTCTCGTTGATGCCATCTGTCAACTCCCTGAGTCGTCGCTGGCGATCCCGGAGCACCGCCTTGTTCTCCTTCAGGATGCGAGCGATCTCACTGCCATGCTCCGCTTTGAAGTCCTCGAAGGCCTCTGCTTTTGGGGGAGGGGGACTGGGAGAAGGGGAGCTGTGTCAGTGAGTGAGGACCAAGCAGTCATGGTCACTTCTGTATACCAGTATTCAAAGCTATAATGCACTTTCTACAATTATGTTAGGTATCCTGCCACGCACACAGAGCAGAAGGGGATAGGGCTTAAATAGTGGCTTTTGTGGGCTATTTACAGCCATCAGTAACAAAGCTCCTCTCACTGAAGTTATAGTGTTAGTAGGTACTGGCAGGTAAGAACATTGACTGGAGAAAAGTGTAAAAATTGGCCCAAAATGCTTCAAATTCAATGTCCAGAAATATTTTTTTCACATAAAGGATATTTTTTTGCTTGTTTTGTTAACCTATGCCTTGTCATTATATCTTTCAAAAAACATACTGAAGTTATCCATTGAAATGTTATGAATTCAAAATGAATGGTAGAAACCCACCTTGGAAATGAAAGTGAGGTGCCCACTCATCAAATCAGGAGGTACCCAATTAGGCATATCTCAAAACCATCCATCCATTTTTTATACCCGCTTCTCCTATGCAGGGTCTCCGGGGACCAGAGCCAATCCCAGAAGCTACAGGCACAACATAGGGAATAACCCAGGACAGGGGCACCAACCAACTGCAGGGTGTGCAAACACACTCCATTCCCACACCTATGGGTTTTTGGAATTTCCATAATGAAAGATAATGATAATGTTTGTCTTTATTTGGTTAAAAAATAAAACATTCTGACATTAAATGTGACCTGGGCCAATTTTCAATCTTTACCTGCCAGTCCCTAGTGTTAGCCTAAAACACAAGTAGTCATGTCCTTAATGATGAGGCCTATTGGTGAGCACAACCTGGCAACCCTAAAGCACTGATAAAGGTTCAGCCATTTGCTCCACAGAGCTGGCAGGACCAGGTTTTCCTGAACAGGACAGGAAGTGACGTGTTGGTTGCTGGTTCCCTGTACTCTGTTCTGAGGTTCCCCTGGGATCCCTGGTTCTGTTCGTCTGAGTTGAGATCCCTCTGGGACTCCAAGAGGGGGTTGCTTCTGTCCAGCACTGCGGTGTCTGCCTCTTTGCTGTAGGCGGGGCTAACTGCTCCTTCCTTCCTCCCGACACTGAGGAGGACAGTGTCAAGGCTTTCAGCATGACAGAATGAGGAAGAGTCCTCTTTTCAGGGACCTAAGCAAAATTTTATAAACCCAATTGTCCTTTGACACCCTCCTTCCCATTCAGACGCAAGGAAGCCACTTAGTTCGCTTATGTCTTGGGCCGGCCCTGTGTCACATTATTATGCTAGATACTTGGCACACAGCAAACACATCCTTTAATTTTTCTCTAGTTTAGTGCTTCTCCATCTTTTCAGCATTTTTTCCTCATCAGTTACACACCAGGGCTTAAGAAAGAGCAAAGTAGCTAGATTATATGGCTTGATTTATTTTCAGCTCCGTAAATTAAAAAAGCTACACTAATGTGAAATAGCTGTGGTTAAATATGTACACGCCTGGAATAACAGTAGCGGTTCTGATGCTTATTTGAACCCCAAATTTCACACATTTGATTGTTCTTGGTAGATCACAAGCTCATTAAAACACCCCAGTAAGTGCTGTCCGCTCTTCTCACAGGAAGTCGTGCACCCCTACTCTTACACCACAGGAAGTCGTGCACCCCTACTCTTACACCACAGGAAGTCGTGCACCCCTACTCTTACNCACAGGAAGTCGTGCACCCCTACTCTTACACCACAGGAAGTCGTGCACCCCTACTCTTACACCACAGGAAGTCGTGCACCCCTACTCTTACCTCGCATCCTTTGCTTTTTTAGGTTTGGTCTTGTGCCTCTCTGCCCCCCCGAAACCCCCTGCTTCCGCCTCTCCTACAGGGCCCTTCTGTCCTCGACGCTGTGACATGAAACAACACATGCCAGTTCGCTCAGAAAAGGAGTCGTGGCCTGTTCAGCAACAAGCCAAGCTACTACAGGAAAAATTAAACGCACTGGCGGGTTTAGCATACTTGTATATACTCTGTGTTACTGATTGGTTATCGCTGTATGTTAATGCCTTATATTTTGTATGTTAATACTTTATATTATCCGTATATGTTATCTTCGTAGTTTATTTTAATTTACTTTAATGTGACCAGTTACACCAAAAAAATCCTTGTACCTGGGCTGTACACGGTAAATAAATTTGATTCTGATAACGGGCATTTAGCCAAATTGTCCCCAAATACACAGTGAAGAACCTTCACTAGTTAGACCCAGAAACAACCAATGCTAAATTTCCATGGTTACCGTGAATTTTTTAAATTTTCCTGCTTATTATTTAAAGTTTATGCAGTTGAAATCATGAATGAATAGTTCTTAAATGGTGGCGTGCCAGAGGTTCAGTTCGCTGGTATATAAACAAATACAGGATGAAGCCATGCTTCCTTGGTCACTCTAACCTGGGACCTGGGGCTGCTTTCAGCAGCTGGGGCCTGAGGTTTCTCTACCAGGCTATGCTTCTCAGTCAGCTGGGATCTCAACCTCTGCTCCTGCTGCCTGGAAATGAAAGCCACCACCTATTGGCTGCATACTGAAGCTATGAGCATTGTCGTAATATGCTCGTGTATTAATAAAGACCTTGTACGTAGTGCAAAGCGTCAACTTCAAATGCCAGCTGAGTAATAACTTACTGCAGAGCGAGTCTGAACTGCGTGAACACCTCTTGGATCTGTCTAATGTTTATGATCTGAAATGGAAAACAGGGATCAGGATTTGGACACATCATATGAATCCAGCAACTGGGTGACCTCAGCTGTGACTGAAGGCAACAAGAAATTGGCAGCCATCTTACGTCAATCTCATTGCTGGTCCCATCCAGATATCGCCGGACTTGACGCTGAATTTCTGCCACCTGCCTGTCCGTCAGTGTGTCATAAGACACCCCCATCCGATTGGCCTGCAGGAATGGGGGGTGGTCACGGGCATTTACAAATATACACTCCTCGACTTATGCAAATAGACCGTTTTTCAACCTATTCTTTCCCAGCATTCATCAAAGCCTAGCCTAGTATTTACCAACCCAGTTCTTGGGGACAGTCTACATTTTTGCTCCCTCCCAGCTCCTTGTGGGAGCAAAAATGTGGGCTGTCTGACTGGGAGGGAACAAAAACGTGGACTGTCAGGGGTTCTCCAAGGACTGGGTTGGAAAATACTGAACTAGCCCACCCTAGTCTAGCCTAGGTATTTGTTGCAAACTCTATAAAAGCTATAAAAAAATACACAATTAATAGAATTCTCTAGTAAATGTTATATTAAATATTGTAATGAGACATATGCCTAGTCAATTAAATTAATACATTACATTTGTACAAAGCACTACACTACTGGCACTTTTCCACTGGCATATGGGATACCCAAGCTCTACTGCGAAGCAAGACTAGTTACAGCATGGTTCCAGCTCGCTTTCGTTTTCCTCTGCAGAGGCAATGCGTTTACTGGATCAGTAAAGGCATTGCCTGGTTTGGGGAGTGACAGTGATGTAAAGGCAAGGAAGTGTTCATTTATTGTTCACACGGTGTACATCAAGATTTACTATGTGCAATTATTATTTTGTTTTTTTTTTTATGGTGTGCTAATTTCCGCTACCACGTCTGTGAGAACCGCTGTGTTATGCATGCATCAAACACTAGCAGAATTAGCATTCGCTCGCATAAATTTGCATTATGAATCTATTCTGTTCAGCTATTCTATAGTATTTTTTTAAGTAGGAGGTTGGAAATTTTCAAGTTCCGAGGTATCAGAAATGCATCAATACAATGTGATGTGCAATACTACTTATATTGAATAATATATAGAACATATGCTTTTTCCTTCAGATAATCCATGCGCAGAACACAGGTATCTTCATGCATTTAGACCAGTCAGATGGTGTTAACGCAACCAGCACAGTTTGGTCACGCTTTCGGGCCTTCTGGTAAACAGGTCCATGTCAGAGTAGGTACCGCTCAGGTCCGGCTTTGGTATGGCTCGCATATTTTACAGTGGATAACTGCCAGGTCGCAGAATGGCTCAGTTCTTGGTGGCAGTGGAAAAGTGCCATAATTAGAATAGGTGCGTTCACAGCACAAAATATGAGAACTAGCAAGAGACTGTTGCCTGCATTGTCAGGCTATGCCAGCTTACACATGATGTACTTCAGATGCTTTGCTTAAGTGCTATTCATAAATAATGTGTATGGTGAGAATTTCTTATGTAATTCTGCATTTACACAAGCCAAATTTACTTAAGAAGAGGTTTATCTGTATTGCAATACTGCCTGTCTTAAAAAAAACCTTCATTAACCTTCATTATGTTCATTAAGATGAACATAATTAGACTGTGGGACTGTGAGATATGTTCCTGATGTTCTAGAAATTACGTGTTTTAATTCATGAATCACATTTGGTTGTTTTACATCAGTATTTCTCCGCCTGGTCCTCAGGGGACCCCCAGTCAGTCCACATTTTTGCTTCCTCTCAGCTCCCAGCACATCTGAACTAAACAACCAAGAACAAATCATCAACCAGGAACACAGAATATCTGTCACAGGTGTGCTGGGAGCTGGGAGGGAGCAGAACTGTGGATTGTGTGAGGGTCCTCCGGGACTAGGTTGAGAAGCACTGCTTTTGGAGAAGCTGGATTTGGGCATGTGGTGTCATTATGATGTCTACATCCACATGTGGACACTCACCAGGGAGTCATGGATGAAAAGCTCCTGCTTCAGCAGCTCGACCTCCTTCTGCAGCTTCCTCACCTGGATCTGCACACATGGGCCAGGTCAGAAGGTTCACTGATCATGTGACCTGCACACAGCCGGCAGTGGCCATCTTGACGTGCCTGAGATCCATTGTTATTGCATCATTCCATTCATTTTTTTCAGATGTCATTTTAAAAATCCCTTGAATCACCACCCAGCCAAGCCTACACACCATAACCAATCTCAGTGCATTCGTGCTGTTCTCACCACAGGATCAACATGCTCGTTGATGGCCGGCTCCGTCTGCACACGTTTCATCCTACCTGCGAAACGCAGCGTGGACAACTGGGGAGCAGAGCAGGCCAGTAAGAACTCCAGACCATGCCAAAGTATCTAGATCTATAAACAGGATAGTTGTGGTCCCAGAGGGGACTGGCACAGAGACACTCTTTCTGGCTGTACATCGCCACTCTCACCGTCTCCTCTATCTGAGCAGCCTCCCCGTAGATGTTTGCCATCAGCACCGTGTTGCAGTTTCCCCCTGTGGTGAGGAAGAGGACAGTCACAAACATATTCCAATAGAACAGTCTAAACCAGTGTTTCTCAACCCAGTCCACGGGGACTCGCAAACAGTCCATGTTTTTGTTTCCTTCAAGATCCCAACACAGTTAAACAATCAAGAACATTGAATACCTGGAACCGGTGTGTGTGTGTTGGGATCTTGTAGGAAGCAAAAATGTTGATTGCCTCTGGGTGGACTGGGTTGGGAAACATTGGTGTGGACACTATAAAACTGTATATAACTAGGTTCCAATATGACCCACTTCTCTAGCATCACTTCTGCTGATCTGTTAGGATAGCTGCATAGGTGATTCGAGGATGTTTTAAGGTGGGGGGCATAAAAGGGATCATATTTAATTCAGAGGGGTCAACCTTATCATTAGCCAAAGATATTTTCAGAATTGGTGAGAGATAGGGTATGGGGCACTCCAGGGGGCAGTCGGCTTTCAGCTGGGGCCAGTGCCCTTGTGGCCCCATCCCTGGAGAGCTGTAATAGTAAGTGATATCCAGCATCAGATATCTAAACTGCACCTGCTCCCTCAATCCCTCTTGGAGATATTTTAGTAAATTGCAGGTCAACAGCTGGCTGCTGCACAAGGCAAACCAATAGCCTGGGTGGTCCTCACATTCCTGCCCAAGCCGTAAGGTACAAACACCTCTGACTGTCCCATAAAAGGTGGTGAATCTTGTGTTGCAAGTCTCTGCCCCCTCACACTATCCACAGCCCTGCTCACCCAGACAGTCCTTGAGGGCATGTGTTAGCTTGCTCTGCCTGAAAGGCACATGTTCGCGGCGCCGGTCTGCTAGAGCCAGGATGGCCTGCTCCAGGAAGGACAGAGACTTGTTGATATAAGTAGCCTCTTTGAGCAACTGGCCCTCTGACTGGCCGGGGGAAGAGGAAAGAGAGGTGGACATCATGAGACCATTATCACAGTACAGCTCTTAAAAATCACTGTCTACAAAACCTTAAAACTCATATTGAAATCAATAATAGGGAGGGCACTGGTTGAAATCCTAGAGTTGGTAGAGTGATGTCACCACTGGGCCCCATGAGCAAGGCCTCTAACTCCCAAGTGCTCCAGGGACTGCCTGACCCTGCCTTCTGAATTGAATGTTTCTTTGGATAAAAGTGTCTGCCAAATAAACAAATTGTAATAAGGATATTTTATAACTAAAAGAATTCACAGAAAGGGGCATATTTCACGTTTCTCCAGAGCAAGACAGCAGCATTCAGAGAGGGGAAAGGGAGGCCATTACTCACGCCAGTTTTGCCTAATCTCTCTGAGCCAGCCAAGTCCACCAGGCTCAGCTTGGAGGTGAGATACTTGGCTTCTGATAGTGTTCGTGAGCGAGACTGAAACACAGAATCCATTATGCTAAATTATGGTGCACATTTGAACTTATGACAAACAGCTTTGATCAGATGTGTCAGATGTACAAGTATTGCAGCATAGAGGAATAATATTCAACATGCAAGCGCAATATAGACTGCAAGCAGGAAGATACTCAGTGACTCTTTAACCACTTGTGGCAGTGCTGTTTGAGGTCTTTCTCAGCTCCCTGTACCTCGATGTGGATTGAAAGGATGCAGTGAGATCTAGACGAGTTCCTATTCAGGGTGTGAGCTCCTATGATCCGGTTCATATCCCCCTGAAGATACCAGAACATCTTTTACTTAATATTAACATTAAGCAGAAGCCTTGTCCAGCAGTACTGTCCATAGGACAAAATAAACAACTAATTCAATCAGTTCTGAATGCCTTCCAAAAATAACCAAGAGTAATTAATGGTGGAACAACAACATTTAAACAAAAATGCATCAAATTAGCAACTGAAGCATATGCAACAGGGGTGAAAAAAGCAAAGATAAAAATGACTCACCAGTGAAATCCTGAGAGCAACTGCATGTACAATCGTTAGTAATTTCACATTTTGACAGCATTTTTAATAATTAATCAATTTATTTTAAAATGCCTATTTTTTGTATTCAGTTTATTAAAAATGTATTTTAGACATGTAATAAAAAGGCATTTTATGCATTTAGAAATTCTCAATTTAAGCTTTAAGTGTTCGAGAGTTTAATAAATTCTGAGCTATTAGTTAAGTTCTCCCCAAACGAGCTTGATGGGCCGAATGGCCTCCTCTCGTTTGTAAATTTCTTATGTTCTTAAATTTACTTTGGAATATTCATTATGTATACTATTTTAGTACAAAAAGTTTACTCATGAAATAACACCAGACAACTCAGACAGCAACTGACCGATGAAAACAGTCTTTCCTACCTCAAAGAGTAAATTCAGGGCCTCCTCCTCGCTGTGAACCTGGTGTAGAGACAGTCCTCGCACAAACACACCACCCCCAGCCTCTTCCACAATGGACATGCCTCCAAGCGCTGCGCTCTCCTCAAGTGGGACAGAGGAGAGCAGGTCCACCAGTGTCTCATTGTAGATCTCCAGGAAGGACAGGTACACAGAGATGGCGTGGTTTGTGCGCTTCTCCACTTCCCTGAACACCTGCATTTTCCACAGATGCACAGCGAATGGGTCATGTGATAGGACATCTGTGTCGACTCCATTCAAGAGTCCTTCTTAATGGTAGCCAGCAGTGGGCATTTCACAACCCAATCCTCAAGGACCCCCAGAAAGTCCACATTATAGTTCCCTCCCAGCTCCCAGCCATTCAAGAACACCAAATACTCACTACAGGTGAGTTGGGAACTGGGAGGGAGCAAAAATGTGGACTGTCTGGGGGACCCCAAGGACTGGATCAAGAAACACTGGGTTAAGCAACATGGGTGTCTTTGAAATAATGGCGTTATCAAGGGCATTACTAAGGCGGTGGTGCGGAGCTGTGGCGGTAAGGTTTTTGGTGGCAGTCGTGGTGGCAATCTCCGAATCCAGTGGTGGACGCCAGCGGTAAAGGGAGCTGTCAGGCTGAAGAAGGAGTTATTCAGGGCTTAGTTAGCTTGTGGGACTCTGGAAGCAGTGGACAGGTACCAGCAGGCCAAGTGGAAATGGCTCCGATGGTTGCTAAAGCAAAAACTCAGTGTAGGAGGAGCTTGGTGAGGCTATGGAGGACTTTCGGTCGGTCTTGAAAAGGTTCTGGAAAACCGTCGGGCAACTCAGGAAGAGGAACCAGGTCTTCACTAATGCTAGTTATAGCAGGAGTGGAGTGCTGTTGACCTCAACTGGGGATATAGTCAGGCAATGGAGGGAATATTTCAAGGATCTCCTAAATCCCACTGATACGCCTTCCTCAGAGGAAGTAGGGCTGGAAGACTCAGAGGAGAACTTGCCCATGTCTGGGGTTGAGGTCACTGAAGTGGTAGGGCTCTGGGGGTGGATGAGATTCATCCTGGGTTCTTTAAAGCTCTTGATGTTGCTGGGCTGCCTTGGCTGACACACCTCTGCAACATTGCATGGATGTTGGGGACATTGCCTTTGGATTGGCAGACTGGGGTGGTGGTCCCAATCTTTAAGATGGGGGACTGGAGGATGTGTTCCAACTATAGGTGGATCACACTCCTGAGCCACCCTGGGAAGGTCTATGCCAGGGTACTAGAGAGGAGGGTCCGTTCGTTGGTCGAACCTCGAATCCAGGAGGAACAATAAAGATTCCGTTCTGGTTGCAGAACACTGGACCATCTCGTCACCCTCAGAAGGATACTGGAGGGTTCGTGGGAGATGGAAAATGGATGGATGGATGCATGCATGTATTTTTAACAAATAGAAGGAAAAAAATAGTCTCCAGGCACCTGCTGTACCCTTGTTATTAAGATCAGAATTCACAAAGCACTACACAGTACATGGAATGTCTATGGTCTGTTTAATACTGCATTCAAGGAACATATATATGTACATAAGAACAAATACAACAAAAACATTCAGTGGACACAAGCACAGCTACACGAGTGGGATGATGGGAGATGTAGGCAGTCCATGACAGATTGGGGTGGTTGGCAGTGAGATGTTCATCTGTATAAATAACACTAATAACTTGAAAAAACAAAGCATGTGCTGCAATAAATCTCAAGCAAGACTAGTTTAAATTTACAACCAACTACAGGTGTGATTTTCAGAGTTTTTTGACAATTTGAGAGGGCAGATGAGGTTGTGGAGGATGTGGAGACTAAGTAACCTTGTTGAGGAGCAGGTAAAGAAACCGTACCTCCTGTAAGGCCCTGGGAATGATCCCTCTTTCCTTGTAGTTCTTGGTGGCTCCAGTCATGGTGTAGGTCTTGCCTGCCCCGGTTTGGCCAAAACACATGATGTTGCCTGATGTTGAGAGACAATTAGAGCAGCTCACCTTAGGGATTAAACTCAACGGACTAATCTTCGCTCAATTCACTGCAGTTGGAGATTTCACAATGGTACATAAAATGAAAATGAAATTAAATGTTTCATTTGTCATTTGCACAAGTACAGGTACACTGGAATGTTTCTTTTCACATATACCAGCATGGTCTCCTTTGACACACACACACACACTGATAAGTTTTAACGTTAAAACCCCTTGCCTAATATTGTGTAGGTCCCCCTCGTGCCACCAAAACATCGAGACATGAACTTCACAAGACCTGAAGGTGATACGTGGTATCTGACACCAAGAAGTTAGCAGCAGATCCTTTAAGTCCTTTAAGTTGCGAGGTGGAGCCTCCTTGGATCGGACTTGTTTGTCCAGCACATCCCACAGATGCTTAATCAGACTGAGATCAGTCAATACTTTGAACTCTTTTTCATGTTCCTGAAATCATAACAACGATTTTTGCAATGTGGCACGATGCATTATCTCACAGAATGAGGCCACTGCCACTGGGGGTACTGCCGCCATAAAGGGGTATACTTGGTCTGCAACAATATTTAGGTATGTTTCACATGTGAAAGTAACATCCACATTAATGAAGAACCCAAGGGTTCCCAGGAGAACATTGTCTAGATCATCACACTCCCACTAGTTTGCCTTCTTCACATAGTGGATCCTGGTGCCATCTCTTCTCCAGGTAAACAACACACAGACACACACTTGGCCAACGACATGATGTAACAGAAAACATGACTCATCAGACCAGGTCATCTTCTTCCTTTCCTCCATAGTCCAATTTTGATGATTCTCAATTGTAGTCTATTGTAGTCAAAGTCTATTGTAGATGCTTTTGCGGTAGGATCAGTATGGGCACTTTGATGGGTCTGTGGCTATACAGCCCCAAGCGCTGCAAGCTGTGATGAATTGTCTGTTCTGATCCCTTTCTATCATAGATAGCATTTTCAGTAATTTGTGCTACAGTAGCTCACCTTGGGAATTAAACTCAATGGGCTAATCTTTGCTCAAGACTCACATCAGTGAGCCTTAGGCACACATGACCCCATGACTCGTTCACACGTTAGCCTTCTTTGGACCATTTTCGGTAGGTCCTGACCATTGTATACTGGGAACAACCCACAAGACCTGTCATTTTGGAAAGCCTGTGACCATATCATCTAACCATCACAATTTTTGCTCAGATCCTTACACTTGCCCATTTTCCCTGCCCCCGACACATCATCTTCAAGAACTGACTGTTCACTTGCCTAACTGTCAGGGTCAGCACCCATCTGTCCAAATCTTTCATGTTCTCCTCCCCGTTTGGCCAGCAGATGTCACTGGCCATCCTGTCCTCCCCGTTGTCAGTCTTTATTGTGTTTCCTCTTCTCCCCAGATGGTCGCATGGCTCATTGAACTGAGCATGCAGCTACCTGTAAACCTCTCAGTTGTGTGTTCAAATTCCACCTCCTCTGTCTTTGTATTTTGTTCTTTAGTGTTTCATTTGTATCAGTTTTTCTAGTTCCTGTCTTTTGTGATTTGTATTCGGTTTTGGTTTTTTGCTTTGTGCCCGTGGTTGCGTTTTACCTGTGTTTGTTATTCCCCTTGTGATAGATTCTGTGTCCTAGTTTGAGTTTCATGATTTAGTTTATTAGATTCACCTGTTGCCTGCTTTACCAGCCCTTGTTAATTGTTCTCACCTGTCCCATGTTATTCTTGTTATCCCTCTGTATTAAAGTTCCTGCCTTAGTTCAGTTCCCCAGTGGGTCATTGTATTTCATGTGGAGAATGTTAGAAAGTACCCTGTCTGGTTATATATTTGTTCTTTGTTCCCTGCCTGCTCCTTGTTGCATTGTTCCCAGACCTTGTTCCTTTGACTTTTTGTAGTTAGTCTTTGTTTTTCCCTATTTGCTTTTTGACCCCTCATGGTTTGTTTTGTAGTGTTCCCAGTGTTTTCCGTTTCTGTTAATAAACCCCTGTTTTCCTGTGAGCCGCAAGTGGATCGTTCACCTTTCTTTTCCCTGCCTGTACGATGCCCCACCCTTCTGATGGACATTCCCGAATCCCTGACACCTAAGATATAATGGCACCCTTGACAGGTGCCATTATAACAAGAAGGTCAATGTTATTCACTTCACCTGTCAGTGGTTTAATGTTATGGTTGATCAGGGTATATATTATATATGCATTGTTGAAAAAAAGATTGTGGTTCTAAGCATAAAGTCAGGCGTTTATCCAACACCCCTAGAGTATTTCATGGGGGTTAAGGGCCCTACTCAAGGGTCCAAAGGAGATATGACTACTGTGCCGAAGACAGGATTCAAACCAGTTGCCTTCCAATCACAGCTACTGTGGTCTAACCCACTGAGCTATACACCACCATAATAGCAAAAACACCAAGCAACAACAACAACAAAAATTCCCCCCCACTTACAAATAATATTTGAGGGAGAGGGAAGAGATGGAGAGGTAGAGAGTTAGAATGGGAAACTTGCCATTGTAACCATCCAGTGCCCCCAACACCACGCTGTGGGCTACACTGGCATAAATCTCCTCCTGGGACACATCGTGGAAGACCCGGTCCATCCGGAATGACCAGGAGCACAGCTGGTTATTCACAACCCGCTTCCGAGAGCCTTTCCTGAGATGGATGTTTACTGTCTAGCAGACAGAAATCAAATGGTGATTATTGATAAAAAGGTCGAGATACATGGAAACATACTATTAGAATAAAAGATCTGGAATGCTGCTTGTGTCTATTATAAGAGCTGTCAAATAAGCTTGTTTTTTTGTACCAGAGACATTATAGAAACATATAAAATTATGTAAAATGAGACAATACAAAACAGAATAAAAAAAAATGCATACTCTCTGTGCTTATATTTGGTATTAATAAGAGATAATACCTGTCCATCTGGTAAATACTGAATAAGGTCTTTCGCAAAATTGGCAGTGGGTCTGGTCCGAATGAAAACCTTCACATCACTGACATGGGCACTCATCGCCCCTTTATGAATGCAGAAGAAAAAGACAAAGAGTGAGAACTGAGGGAGTACTAAAATAATTAGGGCTGCTCAGACACTAACGGAAAATCTGGGTCAATGGGAGATTTAAAACTATGTTCTTAATTTAAGAATCTTAAAGTCCTGACCAGTGTTTAGGCTGTTTAAGGTTATATTTGAACAAACAAGCATGGGTAAATGTGAATTAGACTATTAACAACTTCTAGTGAGATCACTTCAGACCGATACATTTTCTTTACTTCATTGTCACGCGTAAAATGGTTAAATTGCAAAAACTGCCTTTTTATCTAAACTTGTATCTCTGCTTTTCATTCATCAGATTATCTGAAGAACGTAACCAAGTAGGAGAGAACGCAATACTACTGTCATATTTAGCTGCTTGTCTTAATTGCGAGATTCAAGACTAAACGACAAATCATTTTCGTATGAATTAAAAGCAGCATGTTTTTTTCCTGAAATGTTTCTGCAAGTTGTATCAGTAAATGAATTACAAAAACAACGTCGCGATACATGTTATATTGCAGCACTCTCCTGTAGTATAGACATAAAGCAATCCACATTGTCACAAGTGGGTTAACGTAGCAAGATTTTTGATATTTTAAGTTTGTTATACGTAGTTGCTTAGCAACCCACAGCAATTATTGCAGCCTACCGGTAATAAATCGTACTCACTGTTCGTTCAGGTGTAACTTAATTTCGATAGCTACGAAGTACGATGTTTTCTGGTAATCGAGGTGTCTGCCTAATATAATTGTATAGTACCCACTCAACAGCTTGAATGTTTATAACGCTCCCAGGGAAACCATAAACTGCACCGTAACATTTATAGCAACAGAGCTTTGGTGGATGACGTCACTTCCGACCTAAAAGTACTTAGCAAAATGTTGTATTTAATTTAAGTAAATCATTGACCATGTGTAGCCTATATTTTGGTCTAAATACGCCGTAATTCCTCAAGACTACAGTGAACATTATACTGAACTTAACATTTATTGTTCCAAAACACAGCCTTCGAGTTTGCTCAGTCTATCTTGGTGAGGAGTTCTGTTCAAACACTGACAGAAATACTCAGGAAATTGCTGTACAAGCTGCAATCTCAGACAAAATCTCGAATATAGAATTTATCGAATTGCATGCACGAATTCATCCAGTCACATATGACAAACAGAACCTCAAGCTAGAGCTATTTAGTGAAAAGTGTTGTAACAGCCTGTTTGTGAAAGTCTGTTTATGTACCAGACCTTGGCGTGGTTATAAGGTACAGCCCTACGCTCTCCATGCAGTACAACGGATTTTACTCCTATACAAAGATGAAGAGACCATTGCTGCTGCTCTTGGCCACCCTTCTCGCCTTAGCAGCAGCTGCCCCTCATCCGGACAGAACAAAGAGACAGGTGAGTCATTGATTTTAGGAAATGCCAGTGGATGCGAACAACAGGCAATCGTTTTCGAAGCCGTACAGGCTTCGGATCGGAAACTATAATTATCAAGCCTTTTTACGGTGAAATCAATAAGGTGGAAAATTAGAAATTACCTATAGTATACGTACATTGATTTTTAAATTACATATATTTAAATGTTTTTTTTTTTCATTATGAAGAACATATTTGGAATGGCGTATTACACACAGCTAAGCAAATGGCGACGTCATACAAACTTTTCAGACTTATTTGGGACGCTGATTTAATATTCATCAGTCAGGCCAAAAAAGAAGCGGTTTCATTTAGAATATCAAACGCTGCAGAATCGAATCAAATATTTCTCCGCATTACAGTATGAATGAGGAAAATGTGTATTGAATCAAAAGCAAACTTAGTCAAACCGAAATTAAACCCAAATACTCATGTTATATAATCAAGTTTTTTAACAAACAAATACAAAATTAAATAAACACAAAAATGCTGCTGTCGTTTTGTATAACGAAACATATCGGACCCCCACCCCCCACCAAGAGAAGCTGAAAAACCTCACAACACACTTCAGCAAATAATATAGCATGTTAAATTGGCCTTCCCTGGCTTTAGGAAGGAATGCCTCATCTACTTTGTTATTCAGTGCTAGGGATGATGGAGGGGCATGAATATCCTAGCAGATTCAGGGGCCCCAGCACTTTACAGGGGGCCCTGAATGCAAAATAGAAAATTCTACCATGGGGGACCCATATTTCTTCAGACTGAAAGTGGAAACCCCAGCAGGGGACCTCAAACTTCAGGCTTTGCTCCTGTTTGGAGCACTAATCCAGGTTGTTTTTTGTGTTACCCTACATTAACTGTTTGGCTTCAGCTGTTAATTGATGACAAATTGGATAATTATGATTCTTTCAGGAGTTCTCAGGTTTTACTTTTGGTTGTCCTGTTCTAAAAGTTATGTTTCCATCTCTGTTTGCTCAATTCATCATTACAGAAGTAAAACTTCCAATAATCCACTCAAGTTAATTTGAATCTCAGAAGAATCTTTGATGCCTAAGTAATAAACCACTAGTTACTTAGTATTTACCATATAGAGCCTTATTACATTTCTGCTACAAAATAAAATGTACAAATCTTTCCTAACTGAAAATCTATATTATAATTTGATTAACATTACTTTTTATTTATGTCTTAAATTCTCCCCATTTGACGAGCTTCAAGGACTGCTCAGCAATGTGGGCAGTAAAGTTTGTTTGCAGTTTTTGTTTGAATATGGATCACTGATCCTGCAAGTTCAAAGTCCAGGTTTGTTCAACAGGGCAGCTCCATGCTCCAGACCTGCTCATGCCTGAGACATAAGGCTTTTTAAAGCATGGAGGAGACAGGCTACATTGTGAGGGAGCATTTGCCTTCAGGACAACTCGTGAAGAAGTGAATTAGAGGGGATTTAACTCATGTCATGAGGGCAGTCTCACCTCCCATCTAAACAGGAGCCCTGGATCATTTAATGATGTCAACAGATTGTATCGGCACAGAGTCTGACTGGGCAAATAAAAACTTATAATTTGTGAATGATTCTCCCTTTAAAGGTTCATCATCGTGACGATGCTATGTATCATTTAAAACAAAGCTACTTTCTACTATGTCAATGAATAATAAGACCTTAATTAATCGGAAAATTTGTTTTTATTTGTAATAATTGGCAGGACTTTACAACCATGTAATCCCATCTCACTTACTAACTTGAAGAATATAAACAGATGCAAGTATTATCAGGTTTATTGAGACTGTTGGTCATTCAGTCTCATGAAAAACTGTGTCCACCATTACTCACTTGAAACTACCCTCAAGCATTACCCAGCACAGGCCATATCATGTTTCTTTCCTTTTTTGGCTTCTGATGATGCAGCTCACATATAGAGAAGATAAGTTTGCATTTCGTTCTTACATGCGTGGGATATTGAAACGACATCTGTCTTACATTTCATTTTAACACTGACAAGGCTGAAAGCCTTGAAGTGTGTGTGTGTGTTTTAAGTGCTCAAGGAAGAGGGACATGATATTAATTACAATTGTAAAACTGCAGTTATTCAATTTAGAATACTAAAGTATTAATTTGAATATGACTAGTTTATTTCAGAACCTAAAACACTGCATAAAGTAACTGCCAGTTGCAAAAAATGCTTAGGTAAATATTTTTCTTGCTTACATGGCTTCTGTTTGCTAACTATTCAGGAGGTTAAGGCTCCATAATATGCGATTTGAGATATCCTTCTTGTAGCAGTAGAGAGCGTCCCCCTGTGGCTGAGTGAAAACAATGACAGAAAGCCATGTATATCTGGTACTTTCAAATGTACAACAGCAAATCCCCGCTCAGGGCTGGAACTAGCAACCTGCTTTTCATGAGCTCATTTCACATTTCTTAGTTTGCTTCTCGGTATACCAAACTAATGAAATTTATGTAAGGTGGTGTAAAATAGCAGAGATTTTTATATAAGTTTTTATAACCTGAGCTGCTAGAATGCTCACATTAAACACTGACCTGTATGGTCTAGAGGTGATTCTAGGATTTTTTTAAGGTGGGCCATAAGAAGGGCCATAATTCATACAGAGGAACCAAATTTATCATTTGCCAATGATATATTTTGAATAGGCATGGGTGAGAACTCTGGGGACCAATCAGCTGTCAGGCCTGCCCCTCTATACACCCCTGGTGGAGCAGTAATCACTGAAGATGAAGGGCTTCCCAGCCTTGATGTTTTATGCTCTGGGTTTGATGCGGGTGGATGTTCAAAGACATCTGTCCCCTGGTGATTAAACATGGGCTTCAGCAGATCTTGTTTGCGATGAGCAGGTGAATACTGTTCTCAGGTGGTACCAGGCCTGTGTTTAGCAGTCCTGCTTCCTTCTGCTGTGAATGGGCATGTGACAGAATAATGTTCACGCAATCTGGGTCTCCCCTTCTGCCACTAGGCCCATTTCCTTGGAGATCCATGGAACTGTAGGATGTGCATATCCAGCCTGAATGTTGAAGATTCAGCCCCAGAGGCTAAAATACAAAAGGTCAGTACAGTCGCAGTCTTTTTCCAATTAAAATGAAATCTGCAGACTATTCACAAAATTCACGAATCCCAGACTTTCCTTTAATTCATCCATCTTTCCACCAGTCATTCTGGTCGGGGTAGAAGGGGGCCTGCAGTCTATCCCAGGCAGTACAAGGAAAGGGTTCACCCAGGACAAGATGATGTTCTATGACAGGGTGCATACATGCCCTCACTCCCACACTAGGCAATTTTCAGATGCCAATTTACTTAATACATTTTTGGATTGAGTAACAAAACAACACGGAGACAACATGCAAACTCCACAGGGGTGGAATTCAAACACTCAATCCTAGAGGCGTGTGGCCGCAGTGGCACCCCCCAAATCAGCGTTTCTCAACATAGTCTTTGGGGATCCCCAGACAATCCACATTTTGCTCCCTCCCAGCTTGCAGTACACTTGTGCCAAACAAGAACACCAAATACCTCCTACAGGTGTACTGGGAGCTGGCAGGGAGCAAGAAATGTGGACTGCCTGGGGATTCACGAGGACTGGGCTGAGAAACACATCTAAAATCAACCAAATGTGATTCATCACATAGAACACATCACATCCAGAACATCAGAAAACAATGATCTCACAGTCCTAGGAATAATATTATTTAGTAGGGAATTACACATCTAATTATTCTTTGAGTATTGGGATGAGAAATACTGCCCTAAATGATCATGCCACATGGTCAGCTTTCCTGTCAGGTGTCTCATCTTGTTCACACTGAATAAGAAAACATTCAATTCAATTCAATTCAGGGTCAATTTTTGGCTCTCAAACAGTTGTCCTCCGCAGGTTATAAGGAACCAACCTACAGATGATCAGAACTGGGTTGCAGAGTTCTTGTTTCCCATGGAACAAAAGCCCTCTCCTAATCGTGGATGACTTCGCTGAGACAAGCCATAATCAGCCAGTACACATAGCTGGGTGATTCAACTGAGAACAGAAAAGATGCAACTGGTTGAAAGTACATCACTGGAAAAAAATGCAATATAGATGGTGATACTTCCTTGCTGCGTTTGTATTTTCATAGTCTGTGATCCATTTCTACTGAAGATAACCCTGTAGAGATGTGAGATTTCAATAGTGAGGAGCAGGATGTGATCACATCTCTGACACACATATTACCAGCTGATGAATCCACTTTTGGCAACCATCATCAGGACTAAGACTGATACCTCTACAAAAAGCTGTCCCTGCAACAATTTCAGACAAGACCACCTTTCTCATGGGCTTAACTTGCTTTAGTCATTAACATGTTCAATTTAAGCAAGTTTCCCTGCACTACCGCCGACATTCTCAGTAGTGTTTACATACCACAAATCATTATTGCCTATATTATTTGTTCCCACTGACATGCTATTTTCTTTACTTGGATTTGTCACAGAAATAATGCACTGCTGTCTGGCAAAGTTTAAAAGGACTCAGAGCCACACAACCACCATAAGGCAAAAAAAATGCTAATACCGAACTAGAGTACATCACATCCTCAAAACCGTGCCATCCAGAGTCAGCATGCCACCCAAAAGTGTAGTTCCTCTTGCCAATCCTAATTAAGTTGAACATCCTCAAAAAGCTGCCCCCCCCCCCCTTCAACCCCAGCCCCACACATTGTCATTGGAAGCAGTCAAAATGTAAGGACATCCACACTTCTTTACAACTTTATTATTATATATATATATATTTTTTAATTTCTCAACTGTTGACAGCCTGAATATGTCCCTAATAGACTGTACAGAACAAACTTGCACCACTTGCATAAAATTCAGTGATTAAACATTTTTAAAATAGAATGCGTCTCATAGGCACTTGAGAACATTTGCTTCAGGGAATGACTGGGTAGGTTTCTTTGTAGAATTATCACAAACCCGGAAAAACCCAGTTTTTCCCCCAACCATCAACTCTCTTTGCATCTTTGTTGACCCAAACAGGGTTCTAATATCAGTGGTACTGAGGAGGTCCCCTTCTCAGTTTACCCACCAAATCGTTACCAGCCTAGGGAGACCCTCCAGTGTGCAGATACAGCCACTCCATGAAGAAAGGACAACCTCCATCGCATCATTAGAGCTTCCCTTCTTCAAATAAACAGAAATTGGGCACCAGACCACGACAGACAGGCACAGATTTCAGAACGAGACATTTTAGTAGCGAGTTTGGTTAGAAAAGGCAAGTTTAATGTTAACCAAGGAATCATCAAATAAAGCCGTGAAATAAAGGGAAGAGGGGGTTCAGACACACACCATTTTCCCGCTACTAAAACTTAATATGCTATGCAAAGAAAGTTTAAGGGAAATGCTGTCCAATGCAGATATTACCAAACAACCGACCGAATACCCCGCAAACCACAGAAGGACAAAAAGTACAACTTCCTCTGACTAATTTCCATAGTTTCCTGTATTAAGGCTACTTTTAAAAAGTCTCAGGTGAAGCAGAGCCTTAACCACTTCACTGTGACAGCTGGCAGATTCCCTCTGTGGAAATCTTCTATTCCAGTCTGATGGGCCTGGCGTTGATCGGGGGGGGGGGGGGGGTGAATGTGACAGAACCTCACTCCAGTGCAAGCCTGAGGGAGGATGGGCGTCACAGCAAGAGGATGAGCAACCCAGGAAGCCAGGGTCCTCAACAGCGCCCCCACCAGCTGTCTTCAGGCAAGCTTCAGCCCAGGGGCCATGTTAAACAGCATATAGCCAACAGCTGTGTGCAAGTTCATCCCATACAGCAAACAAAAAAAAAAAGAAAAAAAAAAACAATAATCAGCTGTTGCTGCCATGCTCAGGACTGGCAAGAGTCAAAGGGAGATCGTTCTTGCAATATTGTTTATATGGGTAGGTATAAACTGATATTAGGTCGAGTTCACTCATTGCAGTTGCCCTTGGAGTTGTCATGACGATTGGAAGCCCTTGCCACCAGTGTGTGTGTGCGTGCATGTATGTGTGTGTGTGTGTGTGTGTAGCAGTGTTGACATCAGTGTCTGCGAGAGGCACAGAGTGTGTGCAGTCTGTTTCCGGCACCCTCAGCACTGTTAGGGCAGCAGTACCCATATCTGCAGCACATCCCCGAGGTGGAGCAGGTCCAGGCTGTCCCCACAGGAAGCCCTACTTGTCCCCTAAGACGGCATACTGGTTGTCCAGTTGCAGTTCCTGTGCGGAGGCCCCGCCCACTTCCTCCCTGGCCCGGTACTTGTGCTTCACCACCTCAAAGGTCCTCTCAATCTCTCGGTCCCTGAAGAAAAAGAAAAGGGGAGGGGGTGTCATTTATTACACCTAGGGTCTCAAAGGGAAATCCAGGGGACCAGAGGGTCCTACTACTGTATTAAACAGTCTTTTCAACCCAAAAAATCTTCTTGAAGCAACATAAAAACAATATCCATCATCATTTTCAACGTCATCCAGATGAAGACACACCTTCGTGTCTCGACGTGTTTGGCCGTGGCGGACAGTGAGGGAAACTGGGCGTCGCTGAAGATCTCCGGAGGACCCTTGGACGGCCCCCTCCGATTGGATGTCAGCCGGGCCCCTGGGGGCCGATACACCCCCAGTGGTTTCTGCTCGGGCTCCTCTTCTTCCTCTGTTGGGGGGGGAAATCACAAATCTTAAACCCAACGCAACAAACTAATACCTGCTGTTCTACATTCGGCCAGTTAATCAAATACTCACTTGGAATCACAAAGAAGAGTCTCATTTACTCACCAACAGGGGGTGCCGCAACAGGCACAGCGCTAGACTTGTTCCATGGACCAGAGACTTTGTCTCCACTGACGAGAATGATCTCCCCGTCCTCACCGATCTCATCCTTCTCAAACTCCACTTCCTCCTTGTCATCACTGAACACAAAATACCCAGTAGGGAGAAAACTGAGTCTCACAGGATAATATTGAATGTCAGAGCGTCCCTACCGGATAGGGGACTTACCTTATTTGTAGAGCCTGCAGCCTGAGTCCACTGTAGTCAATTTCTTTCTGCTCAAACTCTTTCCACTCTTCATCCTCCTGGAATAAGACATCAGCAGACTATCACTTCAACAGTGAATACCAACCCTCTACCAACTTGCGTAATTATGAATCATCATTGCTGGAACGAGGCATTAAGATGCCCTGTTTCTCCCCAACAGAAAAGCAGACACCGGGGGCGTCGTAGGACAATCATCTCGATATCTGCGAGAGACAGCAGCCCGTCAACCTGCCGCTCCACTGCCCCTCTATGCACAATTGTTCCAACAAATGCTTGCAATTCTGTTCTGAAAATTGTAAATTATTGTAAAATCATGGCTCTGCATCGTGATAAACATGTAGATAATGAGTCGTTTCAGTCAGATAAAAAAAAAAAAAAAGCTACTTGAATTTCTCTCATAATGAACTTCACAAGATTTTAAAACTGTAATTATGTGCCAGCCACTACTACCAGTTTCCTTAAGATGAGCAATGTCAGTTTGGTCAAAACCTAGGCCCATGACATCCTGCAGTAATACAGCATAATGGCTTTTTCAAAATGCCAGACAACAGTCCTGACAGCACATTTCCCATCCATGTCCTACAGCTGCCAGTTCATCACATTTCCAACAGAAGTAAGTTCAATCCAGCTACCTCCACCGCCCCCAAACTTTTATTATTGTGGCACAACCTCTTGTAACTTCAAATAAAACAGCCACACTGTGCAATTCATAATGACATACCTACTTTCCAGAAAGAATAGTATTAAACATAAAACATAGGTGGCAACTGCAAGCCTACATATTCCCAGGCTATCTGGAACATGGATAAACTGGATTGTTCAGCCAAAAAGTAAATCCATTTTTAAGATCTATCACGATTAAATCCAGATTTAAAAAATGCTCTTCATTAAAACTCTGAAATTGAAAACAGACTTTGCTTAAATGATCGTTTTTGTTATACCTCGATGAATTATGCAGCACCAAAACACTTAAGCAAAATGAGTAGAGAGCAAACGATCATTTAATTTATACGAAATGTATTTAACCAAGACAGCAACCTTCTCGGGCCAATGAAACTGACAGCTGCATCGAGAGTACACATTCAAAGTTTCAAACATCCACATCTAATGCGTAGGACATCAAATCAGAATTTTCCATTAATATTGGCTTGTCCACATCCATACAATGAAAAATTAATTGTTTAAAATTTAATACATTAAATAGTAATTACATAGCAATTTAACAAATTACTATTTGATAACTGCATGCAATAGGTTAGCCACCCAGCTAAATGAAACTGCCAGCTGTATGAACTGTGAGATCAAATACGTAACACTCTCTCCAAAGCCTTTTTTAGGAATCCTCACATGGCTCATGCTTCAGGGTTTGGTCCAACAGCGGCCCTGGGTAGAAAAATCACTCGCCGGTCAGTTGCTAACACATTTCTAGCCAAAGTGATTCTACGATCGTGACTGAAACCAAACCCGGGTTTTATTTTAATTCAAGGCGAGCCACGGCAGTGAGATCAGCTGTATAAGACCTCGTCGTTTTTTACGATCACGGCAGTCAGAAAATGTCAGAGGCTTACTGATGCAAACACAGTACATATACTGGGGGCAAAGACCACGGACGGATGATATAAATCGGCGAACGCAAGTAGACGGCCCCATTACATCAATGATTTTCATATGATGAATTTCAGTAGGCCGGCAAATCAGTGACATGCACGTAAAACATGGATGCTGACCAGATTGGCCGTAAATCCTCATCAAGCCCAGCGAATGACAGTACGCTGACATTAAAGTAGCGAAAGAACCGCCTGCAGGAGAACACTGACACAAGACTCCTGTCCGTGCAATTACGGTCCACGATACAGATTGCGGTCGACAGACATTTATAACTTTATAACCGAATTAACCAAGTTTGCTAGACTGACATCCCAACCAGGCCGAATGTTTTTTTTGTAAAAATAACACGCTAGTGAATTTCACACACCACCGAATTGCTTCCAGCTGTTAAGTAGAGTTTGCACGTCTGCCCGATATGCGCCCATCCCGCGCGGGCACGCCAGGCAACGCGTGCTTTGGCGGCGCGTGCTTAGACAGCACCTCCATACCTTCTCCACGTTCGTGTCCGGATTTTCGTTCTTCGTCTTCTCCCTTTCCTTCTTGTTCTTCTTCAAGGCCGCCATCCCCGCAGTCGACGGCGGCTCCTTTCCCTTACCTTTCTCCTTTTTCTTCTTTTTATCGCGCTTGGCAAAAAAATCATCCAGACTCTTCTCTGCACAAGTCGTTGCAACATCCGCCATTTTTCCCTTAAAAATGAAGGACAGCTGCTTAAATGTCACTTTAAACTCTTAAATTACTAAATGCCAATAAAGCCGGATACTGTAATACTCCACATTTAACTCTGAATGCTATTGTAACACGTATAAATAAAAAATAACTGACACTTAGAATGACTGATAATGAACCTTAAGTTCGACTGGCGAGGCGATTGACATGCGCTCTAATATAACCGGATGTACAACCTACCGCGTGTGCGTCTCAAGGTTTGCTCTTGTGTGATTGACAGCTACTGTGGCCAAAAACGACGAGACAAAATTACACGCCGGCCAATAAGAATATCGCGTTTACTGGAGCGGATGTAAAGGCTGGTCGACGCTCAGGCACGAGTCCATCATGCTGCGGATGTGTCGGCTTTTGCTGCTGACTTCTTATTGTAATGTGCAAACTTACATCTGCTGTTGTAACAACGATAAAACAACATAACGATAGTCTCTCATTAAAAATATGTGTTAAATACTGACAATGAATTAAGTCTCAATATAATTCAACATGATTTTAAAATATTAACATTCATTTATATTGCAGGCGCCTTCATTATAGTTTAATGAACATTATAGTCTAGCATGGTCTTAATACTAACTGATGTTTAGCTGCAAAAACATATAAATTAAGTAATGATAAAAAAAAAAACGAGAATGCAGAAATAAAACAGATCCTTGCGTTTTTGACCCTTACGTTTCAGGGAATTTACATAACTTCCATAGACAAACTGCAGATGGCACCCGTGCACTAATTTGGTTGTAATTTTGGAAACAATTATCTAGTAAATTGGGTAAAGTTTGTCCTAAACATAATAATAATAATAATAATAATAATAATAATAATAATAATAAAATAACAATACTGAGTGTTTTAGATTAATAATATAGGGGGCAACAGTCCCACAATCCTATAATGCATAAGCTGTTGGAGGATGTATACACTACCAGTCAAAAGTATTTTTTTCCACAGGTTTTTACCACTTTCCCACTTATTTAATAAACTTCAGATTTTTATTCTTATTAAGCATTGAACAATTGAGTGTAAATAAACTATAAATGAAAATTTAAGTCAAATAGAACAAGTTTCATTTATAACATGAAAAGAGTATGTAGCAGTGCACTATTGCCTATTGTTGTGTGGTGATGGCATTGTCAAATTCTAGGCTATCCTTTAATTTAAAATATTTAGTGTCCCTTGTAGAAAGAATGCCTTGATTTTTCTCTGCTGTTATAACTGCTAGAGGAGGTTACTTTGATGTGACAATTTCTTGCTAATAAAGCAACTCAAATGGTGAACATACTAAATGTATTTGTTAGCAAATTATATTGAGTGAATTTTAGCAAATGTTAAGTTAGCAAATGTAGAAAATCTCAGTGCGTGCAAAAACCTTTGAGTGTGTATAGCTGATTTTAAGTGGTTTATTTCCACACTGCAAGAGATAGAGAGCCTTAGACACAGATAGAAGAGGGGAACCACATATTGGTGGCAAGCAACTTACCAAAACCTACCAGGCATGTGGGAAGCTAATCTTCAAAAATGCTGTCCTAGGAGGTCATTTGTACAGCACACAATATCTCTTTGTTATATATCTTTGTTGGGCTTCACTCTCTAACTACCTGAGACTGCATTTTGTATTGAGCTGAGTGGTCAAGATTATTATTGAAAACAAATGGTAGCTTTTAACTAGTTGGAGACACTGTCTGTTTATGAGATATCTCCGTTATTACAATATGAATATTTTGTCATTTACTTGTTGTTAAACTGTCACTATATGTGAAACTGATTTTGTTAGATATTAAATAGTTTGATTGTAAACCGCCACACTGCTCTTTTAAAAATACTGTAGTATTCTGTGAATATGCTATAGGTACGATGTTATAGTTATCGCTGCATGTTGACTCTCCTCTTTTGTCCTCCTTTTCTGTTAACCTCATTCAGTATGTGACAACATGACTAATGTATGTGAAATTTTCCATTTTCCATCCATATTATTAAAAATACTATGAGGTGCCACATGCGATTTTCCATTGTGATAGGTGATTCTTTTGTAATTTTGGGGTGTGCTTTGGGTCATTATCTTTCTGAAGAATGAAGGATTGGCCAATCATGGGCTGGTAATCCTGAAGGAATGGCATGTCTTCAAAGTATGCCATACTGGTCAAGATTTTCATGGATTTGTGGAAGATCACAGACTCTTTTACCAGTAAAACAATAAAGACCCTGACAATTCCACCTCCATGCTTGACAGTGGGAACCACATATGCAGACTCTCTTAGCACGTGCTCTTTAGACAGGTGTACTCAAACTTATGGTTAATTTCGATGAGTTTTGTGCTCTCAGAGACTGACTTTGTTTTGGTGTAGTCTTCATGCATATCATTTATGAATATTTATGAATCCTTTTTTCTGCACCAAAGAAATGCAGTTTAAATTCTACTTCAGTCTCACTTATAATCTGTCAAATAGCATTTTATGAATGGATTTCATGAACACACACAGAGTGCTTTCTTGACAGCTACAGTAAATAATGAATTACCCTTCATTCTGTTTGTAATGTATTGATCTTGGGTCACTGACTGTGATTCAACAAGCACTAAGAAAATGTTTTTAAGACAGTGTTTCCCGTCCTGGTCTTTGGGGACCCACAGGTCCACATTTTTGCTCCCTCCCAGCTTCCTGCCAAACAGTCCACATTTTTGCTCCAACGAGCAAAAACATGGACTGTTGTGGGTTTGAGAAGAATGGATTGGGAAACACTGTTCTAAGAGAATGTTTATTCAGGTCTGTCCTGGGGTCGGCCACCTAAATGCATAAAGGCCTTTGCTTCTTAGGTTATGTGTTTACAAAATGTGAGTAAAGCACTTACTTTCAAACTGAGGAATAAGCCCATTTATCTGAATTTTATGCTGTGATATTGCAATCCTCTGAGTCCTCGTCACTCACCCTTTACAGCCACAGAGGCAGGTCGTCTTACTACATGGTGGTTCAAGAAAACTAGCTGAAGTTACATTTTTTGCATTACACTGCATGGTTTGTAACATACACATAGTATTTGATTTGCCAGGTAACATATAACAGTATATAAAATAAGTGTATTCAAATAATATATGGTACAGTGCTAAAATCTTAGGCAGTCAAAGGAAATGTTTAAAGCTGTATGGGTAGTAAGTGTATATATGCTCAAAACAAAAAAACTGAATTTAATGTTAGAACACATGCAAATTAAGAGTTACACAATAAAAACTAAGAAGAATTTCTTCTGTTCTTTAAAAAGTTACTGATATCTTGTTGGCTGACAAGAAGAATTTCGCTTTGGTTCCCAAACCTCTCCTCAGAAGCACCTCAGCCATTCCATGTATTCATTACATTTCACCGCCAGCTCACTTAATTGATTAAATTAGTATAAACAGCCAACAAAGTACTGATTAGCCAAATAAGGTGGGTAGTAGTAGAGTCAAAAAATACATTGGTGTTTTGGAGGGTCACTGCAAATACTGGGGTTACTTCAGGAAATGTGTTGAAATGGTTAAGCTGACACTTTGACAGACATAATTTATGACCAACAAGAAAAACATTTAAACATCATTTTCTTTGCCTGCCTAAGACTTATAAACAGTACAGTGTGGACCTTGCTTTGGAATGCATAAGACATTTTGGACAATTCTATGCTTCCAACATTGTGGGAACAGTTTGGGCTGTTTTATGTTTCAGCCTGACTGCCCCAGAGCGCAAAGCAAAGTCCATAAAGATATGGTTGGGTGAGTTTGGTGTGAGAGAACTTGACTGGCCTGTACTGATCCCCGATCTCAACCCCGTTGAACACTTTTGGGATTAACTAGAACGGAGATTGTGAGCCAGGCCTTGACATCCAGCATCAGTGCCTGACCTCACAAATGCTCTTTTGGATGAATCGGCAAAAATTCCCATAGACACGCTGCAAAATCTTGTGGACAGACTTCCCAGTAGTGTGTAAGCTGTTATATACCCACAAAGGGGGGACTAATTCCATATAGGTTTCTATGGCTGTCTTTAAAGTTCATGTAGGTGTAATGACCAGTTTTCCCAATACAGTGGAACCCGCTTATAGTGATCACGGTATAGTGATCAACCACTTATATGGATCAAAAAGAATCATTATTATACAAATACTATTTAAATAATTTGCCTATAGTAATCAAGTAGTCCGCTTACAGTGTTCATTTAGGGTCTTTTTATACATAACAACATATGGAAAAAAAATAATTAAGCCTACTTTGCCTTGCGGTAACTCGTCTGCATCTGGTTAGCTATCTGAGGCTAATGCTGCATGCACAGAAAACATGACAGGAAAAAGAAAGTCGTATTCTCTCAGTGACAAATATTGATTCATCGAAGCTTCTGGTAAACTGCCAAAAACTAGCCACCAGGATGCAACGGTGAAAGTACAATAAGCTGTATTTTATATAAAATGTTGTAGTTTGTAGAATCGCCGAGCAGGCCGAGGAATCACGGCGGCGGCGAATGAAAATGACGAGAGGTGAACTGACACGAAGTTGTTGTTCGTAAAAGCTAAAGTATCGAAACCACACTATGTTACTCCTTAGAGCACAGGTGTCAGACTCCAGTCCTGGGGGGCCGGAGCCCTGCACATTTTTGGGTTTCCCCTCGTTTAACACACCTGATTCAACTCCTTGTGCTAATTACCACACAGCTGTTGAGCTGAATCATTTGTGGTGGAACAGGGAAAGAACTAAGCTACACTCCAGGACTGCAGTTTGACACCCCTGCCTTAGAGGGACCCCACAACAAACAACAATTACACAAAAACCATGAGTTATAGGGAAACATGGGGAAGTTACGCTAAGGATGGTAAGGCACACACATGGCGGATAATTACACAATGGCTAAGATATGCGAGGATCAGGCAAGAACCGAGTACAACCACAGCTAAAGGCACACACAACACCCGGATCCACAGTACAAGTACTACAAATACAAACAGGGGCTATATACAAGACATACGTGGGGCTATACACGCTCTCACGAGGCATGCTGGGACATGCAGATGCTGCCGGCACTACAGTATTATAGCATATTTGAATTATACACAGCTCAATAATTTAATTTGTACGGTACTGTAATTTGAAAAACGTTTGAAACACCTGTACTGTATTTTGAAAATTCTGTAAATAGCAACGCTATCTGTTTTATTACCTTATATTCATGTAACAAACATACAAATGTCAATTAGATGGTAATCTGCCAGACATAAAGAAAAATGAAGAAAAAAAAAAAAATCGGTTTTATTGATCAGTTTAGTGATCAGTTTCACCCAAACAGATGTGATTACTAGAAGCAGATTCCACTAGACTTTTGTCCATGTAGGCAGTCAAAGAAAATGATGTTTAAATGATCTTCATGTTGCCGTAAAACTATAACATTGACTGATGAAGTCTGTTAGCTTAACCATTTCAAAACTTCTGCTAAAATCTCCCCAGTATTTGCAGCAACCTTCCAATACACCCATGATTTTTTTTACTTGACCACTAGCATGAAGCCTTCATAAAGCTAATCAATATCTCACTGACTTCCTACATAAATTAATTGATTAAGTGAGCCGGTGGTGAAATGTAACAAATACATGGAATGGCTGGGGTGCCCCTGAGGAGAGGTTTGGGAACTGAAGAGGTGATCATCTAGCCATCCAACAAGATATCAGTAACTTTTTGGAGAACAGAAGAAATTTTTATTCGTTTTTATTGTGTCACTCTTAAGTTGCATGTGTTTTTTTTGTTCTAAGCAAAAATGCACTTACTACCCAAATAAATAGTTTATATCATTGGTTTATATCAAGCAATGCATAATCATATAATAACATAATAATAATCATCCTCATAAGAAAGTGGACCAAACTATGTTACTATTGCTCATCTGTGCTTCTCTGGGGAAAAAAAAGCAACTGCAGGCAATGCATAGAGATTTTGTACTAGATTTGAGCTGCAAACCAATAATCAACACTTTTACTAAACATTTTAGGAAGCTGAAAATGTGCTGGCTTCTACAGAAAGACAGGTAGACAAGTTCCAGAAAACAGTTAAAGTGAAGATTCAATTCTAAGTTTTCAATTCAACAAACAGGACACATCAAGCTCCTCAAAGCTTTTCTATTTTTATTGCTTGGTAGTAAAAAGTACAGTGTTCATACTACGATACAAAAAAGGCTTGCTGTTGGATACATGTGAAATTCTTTCCCAGCATCTCGGGTCTGCAATACATTCCTCCTTTGTCTTTTGTCTGACAATCCAAAAAAAAAAAAAGTTTCATAGACGTCATCTCAAATGCAGAGGCACGTGGGTAAACCTGATCCATAGCATTGTGTCAAGCAAATGGGCAACAAAGAAATGAAAAGAGTAAAATTAAAAAGAAAGGAAATCTGACTGTAATACGAAACTAACGATTTTACTTGTTTTTGTATTTCATTTTTTTTTTTGCCTTTAAAATGATGTTCAGTATTCTCCATGTAAGTACACTCTGACTTCACTAACAACAAGGTAAACCATAGTGCAACACAGTATACTCCTAATCTGAATTACCAGTTCCTCTGAGCAAAAGCCATCCTTGTTATTAGTGCATGAAACACAGTGCTGTTTGTGCCGGTAGTCCGTACACCAGTCAACTCTCTGGGAGCCAAACCCCATAGTAAATATGGGCATAAATATATTATGAAGTCTTTAATTGGTCTGTCTTACATCTCTACCTTTCCTTTCTCATTGCTTCTTGGCACACAATCTTTCCAGGACGGGAAAATGGTTATTTTGGGTCCCTGTTTTCTCACAGTACAGTACAGAGGGTCCCCTGGCTGAGTCAAACCAGTCTTCTCATTTACACAGAGGGTGCTGGAACTCACCACAGGAGCTGAATGCAAAGCCTGGACACAGTCTCCAGGCCAAAAAACATCAGAGCCACGCACATGCACAATGAACAGGAAACTCAACTGATGATGAAAGATACACACACACAAGCACGCACACACCAGAAGACACTAATATAGATAAGTGGTGACAATTTAGGACTGCTTGACAAAGGGACTAAGACATTTTAAACAGTTTGTATGGTGCTCCTCAGACTGGTGACATGGCAAACTACAATAAATCTACATCCTCCATCTGTCATCAATTCCTATGTCAGTTTAAGGCTCTTTCAGATGCACAGCTAGATATTAGTTGCTAGCGCTGCAAAAATCTCTCATGGTTATATACAGAATTCAAGCTCATCAGACGTTTCCTTGGGGAAAAAAAAAAACACTGAAATCTTGACAGACTATTTTCATCCTAGTGCTCAGGTACTTTCTTGGAAAGACAAACCAACAAATGCAGACAATTCGTCTTAAAAATACATCACTCCGTGTCACAATTACGCAGCTGTAAAAAATGTACACCATAAAAATATCCCACACCCTCACAGTACTGTAAATAACATCTTTTTGACTTTTACATCTGTATAATTATATCTTATTTATAAAGACCAGTCTCTCTCAGAGTTTATTATATTTATAAAAACAAGTTTACAACCTTTGCAAAAAGGGAAAGCTCTCCTGGTCGTTCTCTCTCCTTAAGTGGCAAGTGACAGAATCTTCTAGATATCATCTGAGGCCTTTTCCCTGTTGATGAAGAGCGTCTCTTGGCAAAAGGGATTCACCAGCACCACTCCGCTGCTGGTAAAGTCTCCGTTGGGGGGCAGGCAAGCCTCCTGTTCCTGAAAAAACAAGGCACAGCTCAGCGTGGTTCCACTGAGTAGAGCTACAGGAAACCTTACCAACACTTTTCTCAGATAGTACATAAATGTCTTTCAATGTCACAGCGACCTTGTATAAATGTGATGGCAGAATGCCCAAGGGATTATCTATCACTGTTGTGCAGAGGAGATCTTGATTTATTTTCGCTTTAAATGTTAAGTACTTCATACTTAGTCAAGGTTCATCCACTATTTGTAATCTGTCACTTTGACTCACTGACACACACACAGACCTTTAACTCAGTTTCATCATCGTTCTGTGACCCATTAAGCAGTGGGTAGATTATGAAGGAAAATCATGTCATGCCTTGGGCACAGAGCACACACATAGCCACTAAAGAGGCCAGGGGTGCAGATGATAGGGGGGATGGAGGAGTCACGCACCCCCCCTCCCTCCCTCCCAGTTATACAGAGATCCTTGTCCTTGTGAAAAAACAAAACTTTGATAGTAGCATAACTGAATAGGTTGGGTATATTTGAACTAATCAAACTGTGTCAGCCATCACAGTCTATTCACAGCATGTGGTTGGTGCTGGTAGGAGTCCCCTCACACGTGTGCATCCCCAAGGTTGAACACATGGAATCCTACTATCTCCCTTTTACCTCTGTTTCTTGAAAGACAGAGTAAAGTGCACACTTTCCTATTAACTTACACATAGTTTTATTATCCACCTCCACTATGGTGGGTGACATTGCTTGAACAAGAGAGAAGCAGAAAATACCCACAATGCCAGGGTAGACCTGAACTGCCATTTCAGGAAATTCAGGAATGACAAAGAGAGTTTTGTACATGACAGGAAATGCGTGCCAGGGAAATATGTGGCAAAACTTTTTGCAAACAAACTCAGAAAATCAACATTTCCTCAACAGTGAATTTAAGGCACAAAACTGGTAAGGTCTGTTGTAATATGTGTGTAGAACATACTGACATTATGTCCAGAGCTAGCTGACTGATGAACTGTACCACTCTATAACAGCAGAGGGAGCTACAGATTGCTCCAACAACACCAGTTAACAGATTGTTCACTGTCAACAGAGGTTGCTCCCAGACTTTCCAAGCAAGTCTCACGCATTCACCTTAGATCTGAAAGATCCAGGTTTAACTAATGACACCAGACATTCACAGGATTCACAGATTAGCTCCAGTTCATCAATGGTTCATAATCTGACAATGTAAGATGTTACAGCTCACTCTAGTGTTCAGGCAATTCAAGATCTGGAGTCTTTGGGGAGAATCATGGCAGCCACTGTTAGGCTGAAGAAGCAGGTGAGAAATGAACGGTGGGCCAAGATTATGGTTGGGTGGGGAGCCGGGCCTGGTGAAGTTTAAAAGTTCCTCTCTCCATCACAAATGTGTGTGTTTGTGTGTGTGGGTGGGTTATGTAATTATTACATCGTGAGTACCAAATGTCTCCGCAAAGTAATAAAAACCTGTCATTTTGACATTGTGGGGACCATTTTCTTGGTCCCCACATGAAGAACAACAATTTTATAAAAATCTGTGCGATCAAAAAAATAAAAATGTCAAAAGTCTTTTGTTAGGTTACTTATGGTTAAGGTTAGGGCTGGGTAGGGGTTAAGGTTGTCATAGTTGGGATTAGGGATTCCCCCATAGAAATGAATGGACGGTCCCCACAAAGATAAGAATACAAACATAAGAGTGTGTGTGTGTGTGTGTGTGTGTGTGTGTGTGTGTGTGTGTGTGCACCGGCGCGCACTCGGGCATCCCATCCATTGTGTCTCCTGCATTGTGCCCTGTGTTGCCTGGGATACTGTCCAGCTCATCATGACCATGCAGTGATACAGTACCTGCTATCTGAAGAGCTCTCATCCAGATCAAGCAAAATGGCATATGTGTGTGAGTGATGACTATATAAAGTTTATCTGGATCACTTCTGGGTTTCAATACACTGCAGAAACAAAGGAAGTGACATCATCGCTGTCAGACCTGCCCAAACTATTGACACAATAGTTCATTTATGGGATTACTGACTGCAATGCTCTGCTTCAGGAGTTAAGGTTTACCACTGCAGTGTTTTTGGTGTTTTAGTGTGTCTGCTTCTGAGTCATCCTATCCCATAGTATTTAAAAGGGTAGGATATTCACTGACTCATAGCAGCCTTTTTAAAATAGGCACTGCCAAGTCCTCGTTTTAATGACTCAATAACCCAACGTGGTGGACAAAACAAATTTCTCTCCACAGCAGGGAATGTGGATTAGGCTCTCACAGTGTAACTGCATTAGTGGGTGGATCGAGAGAAAAGAAATTTATTAGATCTCACATTGCCAACGGCTTTTCAAACTCTGACAAAACTAAGCGGGGATCTGAAAGTTAAAGTAGTTCAGTGCAATTACTTCCATAAGCAGTGTCCTTTGAAATACCTTTCTCTTCCAAGAGACAATCACAAGTTTCAGTCAGAAAATCACTTGGCAACTAGAAGTTCTTATGAAACAGCAGGATCACGTGACATAGTAGTTCTCTTCCCATGTATATCTCTGAAAATTCTTAGTGTGCATGCCTACACACGATAAATCTATGACTGTGCATGACTTTTCTGTAACTATGCATCAATATTCCATGTCTATGCATGAGTATTCCATAACTATGCATGAATATCCCTATTCCATGATTATACATGTCAGGACTATACTGTAATGCTATGTAATATAATTCCACACTAAACCCTTCCCACATGAATTTCATGGAAGCAATGAGCATCCCCATAGGTCCCTTTTACTAAGATCATATCTCCACGGATAAGCATCTTGGGTAGATATATGTTTGTTTCGGTTTAAGATCTCCCCTGACCCACCTCAGCCATCTCCAAGGACTGAATATTCCTGGGAAGGTCGACGGCATGCCGGTTGAAGTAGTCCATGGTGATGGTGTCGTTCCAGTAGCTCACGTTGTTCTCCTGAATGGAGGTCTTCTTCTTCCGCTTCATGCAGCAGACCGTCAGGAGTACAGCTGTGTGGATTTTAATGCATGATGGATGTGAAACTTATGTGAAACCTTGGTAAAAACTTATGGTTGACCCACACCATTACCAATAACTCCACAAATGTGTAGTGAAACTAATGTCAGTGATATTACTCAAGATCTCATAAAAGAGTGTAGCAACCACATGATATAATGCAAGCAGTGAGACAGCAGTGAAGCAGGGCAGACTTGGGAGGCTATAGTGAGGTTCCAATGTGGTGAATGAGTTGACAGCCTCTACTATGGAAAATGGCTGAAAATGCCATTGTCGCCATTATTTTTGTAGCTCTGTCTTTAGCTCTGGTGCTGCTAAGTTTCAGTATTGACTAAAGTCACAAGTTAAGTGATAGATTAAGCAGTTTTGTTGCTTTACCATATTAAACTTTAATGTGATTAGGGTAATTAAGATGGGAAGTATTCTACCAGTTCAGCTTTCCTGTTGATCACCAGGGAGATATACTCACAGCAGGATGAGACAGGAACACTGATGGCCAGTATGATCCACACGATGTCCATCTTGCCCAGGCAGATGGTTCTGCTAGTATATGGGGAGTCCAGCCCAGGGCTTGAGTGGTTACCAGGACTTTGGAGAATGTGGGTAGGAACAGGGACCAGCCTGCTGTAGAAGTTGCTAGTGGCTGTGTAGGGAGCTTTGGTGGTACCGTTCGACTGCCTGGGAGGGCTGGAGGCCAAGTCCGTGGGGAACTGGGGCCCGGGGTTTGCGGTGTTGGCCTGTGACCAAGCAAAGTCTGAAGCATTGGCGGCAGACATGCTGGTACTGTTAGTGGAACTGAGTGCTGGAGCACTACTGACAGGGTTTGGGGAAGGCGGTTCGGGACCAGGTGAAGCAGAGAGGGGGGCAGAGGGCAGAGTCGAGGGCAGGGCAGAGGGAGAGGCGGCAGTCTTTGAGGATGGCATTGCCTCGTCTGTCAGGTTCTGTGGTGCAGATGTTTTCTGCTCCTTCACCAGCTCAGACTGAGTGAGATTCTCGGGGGGGATGGAGTCCACCGCCCGAAGGGTGATGACATGAGGCAGCACGAGTTCAGGTGTTGTCCGGGCCAGTTCTTTGAATCTCCGCTGTGACAAGGAGGAAGAGGAGAAGGAAGGGGAAGAGACCAAGGAGAGGGAGGTGGAGGGGTGCAGCTCAGTAGTGAGCAAAAGATGGCTACTGTCTGTGGGCTCCTCCTGGCTGAGTGCTTTAGCTGGCACGACCTGAGCAGGGCTGTGCATCAAGCTAGCCAGATTAGCAGTAGTGGACAAGCTGACATCAATCCCAGCTGTGGCGCCAAGAGTTGCCGTAGGCTGGATCTTGTACATGATTGGGGGGCTGCTCTGGATGAGCCATTCTCTGCTGCTGGAGCTATCTTCTCCCTCTGCAAAGCCTCCGAAAAAAGCAGCCGATCGACTCTCCATGGATACGGTGACAGATTCCTGAGACGTCCGATTGGGAAGGAGCTCCTGTGACAAGGACACTACTCCCACAGACCCTGCCAGTAGTGTTAAGACACCTGTGAAGAGGATGCAGGCCTTGGTTAGCGTAGGTAAGGTTCCAAACACAAAGCAAGCATGACGCACTTACATACAGTAACAGGAACCAAAGTGTTGGCTGGGAGAAGATTCTTCATCATTTGGAAGGGACAGGCTGGGATATAAAATACATTATTTACTACCTAAATGTATTTCCGCAGTATGCCTTGTATATGTAATAGAAAAATATGAATGACTACATAAAAAGTTAAACAAAAAGATATAGATGGTGCTACTACTGAGACAAACAGATCCCCTACAAACAATGTACACGAACTAAATTTTACTTAAAATGGCCCTGCAAAATAAAACATCTATCCACTCACATATCCATCCATCCATCCATCCATCCATCTTCCAACCATTAATCCAGGTTCTGGGGAGCCTGAATCCTATTTCAGGAAGCACAAGACACATGGCAGGGGACACCCTGGATGGGATGCCAGTCCATCACAGGACACATATTCATATACCAAGGGCAATTTAGGAGACCATTGATCTAAACCAGTGTTTCTGAACCCAGTCCTTGAGGACTCCAGACAGTCCACATATCTGCTCCCTCCCAGCACATATGAACCAAACAATCAAGAATGAACTACACAATTAAGAATGAACCAAACAAGCAAGGACACCAAATACCATGTCCAGGTGTGTTGGGAGCAGGGAGGGAGCAAAAATGTGGAGTCCCTGAGGTTTGATTTGAGAAACACTGATCTAAACTGTATGTTTTTGGGGTTCGGGAGGAAGCCTATGTGACTCTAACATTCATTTTTGGATGTATGGTCAGTTCACTTGGCAACTGATCCTGTAATTCACTGTTATTCATTTGGCTAGCTAATAATTTTTGGCAATAAAAATAATATTAACAAGCTCCTCAGATTGGCATGGTAAAATAAATGTTGCTGAACAAACATTCTTTAAAATTGATTAGTTGGCATTCCAAACCATAGGAAATAACATTCGAGAATAAAGTTAAATAGTTTGTTGCATTCAGAATCTTCCTAGAAACTTTGTAACTGGTTGTGATGACTAAAGTAAAAACCATCTGCCCTTGTTATTGTAAGTGCGGAAAACTGAACTAAAACTTTCTCTGGAAGAGGTAAAGTCGACTAAGGACCTCCAGCAGGGCGTTTAGCAACAGAAACTGTCTGAAAAATGGATTACTTCAGTTTGTTGTCTTAATAATTGTTGAAATGGAGAAGTACAAAAGCCCTGGGACATATTTTTTCATATGTCATTCAGATTACTACACATATAAAACCAAATGTGCATGAATCAAAATAATAAGTACTGCAATATAATTTAAAAGTTTTAAATGCTAGGTAAACAAGAGCTGAATGGAAAAAAACACTCTTTTGGCAAAAGTACTTAACACAGTAACTTAATAGGTTCCCGGTAGGATTATATTAATATGAATAATTTAATACTATATTACACAGAAAATTGATTAGGTAGGACTTCTAAGTAAGAATAATAGAGGTCCTTATGTAAATATCACTGAGTTTTTAATAACTCAATTGATCCCATTTTGGTGGGGGTTACTGGAGATTAGTTTTCTACTGCTTGGGGGTGTGTTCTCATTGGCGCCCCCTAGTGTTGGATGAGGTGCCCCCTTCTCCCATTCATGACCATCCTCCACCATGATAACAGTGTGACTCTAAGTGCGTGTTGTGGAAAGTAGCTTAGCAGGGGTGTGAAATGAAGCTGCTGGCCTTTGCCTCTTCCTACATGGGGTGTTGGGGTCAAATCCAAAATTGTTTCACTTTTTTTCAGAATCCAGCCAAAAGATGAAGGGCTTGGCACTGATGAAATGTCACCTCTCAGACTTAATGCTGTTTTGCCATGTGGAACAATATGTAATTTCTCATAATTTTGGGATGCTTTAGTGTGTGTGTAGATATATACAGCCCAGGAGAGCTAACTTAACTTAATATCCCTGCTCTTTATACTAATCACCCATCCCCATCCATTTTCTGTATTCAGGGTTGCAGGGGTCCGGAACCTATCCTGAAAGCAACGGGCACAAGGCAGGAAACAACCCAGGATGGGGCACCAACCCGACGCAGGATTATACTAATAGACAAAAAGAAACTACATCCAATGTCTGAAATGTCCAACTGAGAGCCAGCAGCTGGTTATTTGCCCATTACCTCTTTTATGGTCTTATTCATTAAACCTCAGAACTGCCTAATGAACTTAATTGCCCCCACTGTGTTTTTTACATTACATGCTTTATTTAAAGAGGTAGTTTGATTGATTTACAATGGTAAATGAACATGTGGTAAATGGACCAAGTGACTTGATCAGCCTGTTGTGTTTCATTGGTTTACGGGTACGCAGCAGGAGCTGAGGGTGGGTAATGCACGCATACACACACGCACACACACACATACACACACACACACACACACACACACACATACACACACACACACACACACACACACACATACACATTTGTAATTATATCTTTGTGGGGATTCTCCATTCATTTCTATACTCTAACCACAACATGATGACCTTCCCAGCCCTAACCTTAACCATAAGTAACCAAACAAAATACGAGACTTTTGGCATTTTTACTTTTTTGATTGCATTCATAGACCTTCATGGTTTATTTTCATGTAACCGCACACCTCGTCATAGCTTATGCTGCTTTTACAGCTACCAAGGAAATCAGTGGATAACAGCACTAAACGTGTATATACATCCACAGGAATGGTTAGTCTCAGCAAAGGTTGCTATGGCAACAATAAACAAGCTAATTTATAACTGGCTAGCTAGCTAGCGGGAAACCTATTGGCTGATTAACATCAGCACCTAGATGCTCACAAGGCTCTTTGTTGAAATGATGACACATTAACATTAAACATCACAACAGCATGTTGGAGTAGGATTCGTAAAAAAAAAGAAATAGGTGAGACATCGCACAGTTCATGTATTCATATCTTTGTGGGGACTCTCCATTCATTTCTATGCGTATACTGTAACCTTAATCCCAACATGAAGACCTTAACCCCTACCCAATCCTAACCTTAACCATAGGTAACCAACCAACATTTGAATTTTGTCAAAATGTTTATGTCATGGCAAATGTATGGAAGCTTATTTGTGGGACAGTATTCAGTATGGCTTGCTGTACAGTTACCGGTGCACGTTGCTTTCCTGGCAATCGATAATTTCGATTAATTCTTACAAGTGACAAAAATTCGGAATGGATGGGAGTACATTGCTATCAAACTGTGATGCGGCCTTCAAAATCTGAACCACCCCCAAGCAATACAGCTATACAATTCCCTTCTAATGTGTATTATATATATATACTAGTAACACTTAGTAACTCAATTGCTACTCAAGTACAAATCAAGAACAAATATAGTAACTCCATGAAATATATGAACTGTTATGACTGATTAATGATGAATGAACACTTAGGTACTGGTTAATTAATACATTAAGTAAAATTATACTACTACATTATTTGTGCCCCCTCAAGTAGTGTTAGCTATATACTTATACCGCTGCACTTTTGCATTCTCAAATCTGATTGGCCAGAAGGGTTGCAGTGTGCAGTGTGTGTGCAGTGAATTGCCTTTCACTGCACACACAGTGGCAGCATGTCAGAAGACAGCAATAAATAAATGTGCTACTATAATCTTTAATTCTGGCTAAATTACTTAAAATTATAGAAGTAGAACACAATTCAAAACGAATGGGAAATACACAGGAATGATTCATCATTGAATAAATTTGCAAAAAAGTAATTCTTCAAATAAATGCATTTCCAGCTTGTAAAGTGAAAATAATGTCTTTAGGTACTAACATGAAAGCCATAAGTATCATACCCGAAGCAGGTTAATGAACTCCAAGCCTTGAATTATACATTTTTAAATGCACTCTGCTGCATGTCAGGTGGTTTTGTGCCTCCACAGCAATGCACTTAAAAACATTTAATGCATGTCTTGCATTAATGCCTACATATATAAATATATTACTCACCTATAAACTCATATACAAGAATGAGTATGTAAAGAAATTGAGAGCTAATCTGTCTACATTCCGCTGTCTTCAAACCTGGATATGAGGATATCATTAGTGACCTATATCACTAGAGCTTTATCAAGTGTGTCACAAGCTCAGTCATGAAAAGAGACCTAGACTGAAGATCACTATCACTGGCTCTTCTCTTTCTTCTTTTTAATATCTAAGCACAGCAATCTTTTACACTGGAAAAGATACATTAAAACCATCCATTATGAGACAGACATGGAGAGCACATGGAATCCAACCTGGGACAGAGATCATCAATGTCTGCCAGCATCAAACTCCACTAGCCCCCCCCCCCCTTTGGCGAGTGCGTCGCGGAAATGAAACTGGCGCGAAATCCCGATAAATCCACGGCACGGGCACCTTGCTGACCCCTAGGATGTCTGACAGATTCTGAATAACAGGGCTGCACGATAACAGAATGGGGGGCATATTCAACACCCCCACTGCCTTATCTGGCTGTAATGGGGGGGGGGGGATGAGGCACACAAACAGCCTTCAAGAGGAGCTCACTGGTGTCTTGACTGGTCTCATCACACATTCTTTTGAATAATTCAAATTAATTCAATTAAATTTTAAACTGTGCCCTTCCTCACATATTTGCCCCCAGCACTTAACATTAAGCTTTTACACCAATGACATAACAGACAATGTTATAATGGTAGTAAGATAACCTGGAACCAGCAATGTTGGCTTCTAATGTGGGTAGATTTCACAGCTTAGCTGTACTGCACAGCTTGTCATGCAACCTTGCCTTCAAAGTCCACAGACACAATTATACTCAGGACAATGTGTAGTGAAATACATTGTTGCCTAGCTGCAGCCTGTGATCAGGGGACATACATATAAGGGACACAAGCATAAAGGGGACATAATACAAAGAGACCAGACATAGGATATGAAAAAGTAAATATCAAACAATCATAAATATCAT